AGGACAGACATTGCTTTCACTTGAATGCCGACGCGCCTCAGCGCAAACTGTACACGCGTGCGAGCGCCTTCGCCTCCTGATCCCATGGCGGGTGTCTGACTAGGAGATTCGCCGCCTTCCCGGAGATCTCCTATGTGATTGTTAATGCTGGGGCCCTGTCTTATGGGACACGACCAACACCTGAGCTTGCCGCTGCCTCAAATCATCGTCAAGAGGCTTCATTCCGGCTATGAATCGCACGATCCCCAAATACAACCTCGGCCCATAGGCCAATACTGTCAAGTTTTTATTTTTATGGTAGGTAGGTATAGGTCGGCAAACGAGCAGACAGATTACCTGATGGTAAGCAATCAGCGCCGCCCATGGACAACCACAACATCAAAGGAGTTGTGTTCGAGTGCGTTGCTGGCCTTTTAGGGATAAAGGCTTAGGATATTTTAGGATTGGGAAAGGATAAGGGATGAGAAGATTGGGCCTCCGGTAACCTCACTCACACGGCAAAACACAACGCTGTGGTTGTTTCACGTTGATTTTCTGTGAGGCCGTGGTATCACTCCGGTCGAGCCGACCCATTCGCGCCGAAGGTTGGCTCATCCACACTTAATCCAACACATTTTTATTTTGTCGCTTGTACTAAATGACTATGATACTGTATAACCTCGCTGTATAGATCATTATAACTTTATTACAACTTTGTTTAGATGTTGTTTTAATTGTAATAATAAGACGTCGTTACCTATTCCTTGTTCCACGACTCGGAACTTTATTCATTGCTGTATTAAAGACAACGTGACTTGTGTAGAGAAGTCTTTGTTAGTTTGAAGAAAAGGTGGTCTACCGCGACATCCTTTTCACATAGGTAAAGCAAAGCATAGTTATCTAATACTGTACTTTAATCACAAGCCCGTGTAGTTCCACTGTTGTCTGTAGGCTATAGGCCACCTTTTTTTTATAAAAAAACCGGCGTTTATTCCTCAGGGGAAAATCATCAAACGACCTCTCCCGCCCAGGGTAGGGCGAAAGAGTCTCAGACTCTTACTAACTAAATCCCCCAGGTCCTTCTCCTGCTCTGGGCCGACTCATTGCGCTTAACCCGCACTCCGGCTAAACATCAGCCCTATAAGGGTCCGTCTGTGGTGGTCTATTGGCACTTTGAGGCGCGCGCTGAACGCTACGCGCCGTCCCCTCGGGTATGGATCTGACCAGATTGTCGCCTACTGGGGCGGCTGGGGTATGAGGAGGATAGTTCCCTCGCACGCTCTGCTTCTCCTTTTCGAGCATCACTGCTTCGCAGAAAAAGGAGACGGCTTCCCAGTTCCTCTCGCTATGAACCATGGCCTCGACTAAGGCCGAGCGCGAAAGGTCGCCGCTGCCGATACTTACCGCAAGCAGGGCACACCGCCACCGTATGCTCCACCGCGTCCTCAAAATAGGTCAGATAACGGTCACCTGACGGTAAGCAATCAGCGCCATGTTGTCAGTGGGTTGCCGGCCTTCTGTTGATAATTAGGGATTTTGAGGATTGGGCCTACGGTAACCTCACTCACAAGGCGGAAACACAATGCAAGCGAAATTATATCGTTAATGTACCTATAATAATAATATGGGTAGTGCTTATAGCTGAACATCAGGTGATCCATCAGATAAAATAATAATTGTCCAGAATACCAAATAGTCTTCTAGGTCCATGATTTGACTTTGTAATTTAAAAACAATAAGTTTCTCCATGTTTTATTTTACCACATATATGTATCTTCTTTTAACAAACAAATACTTTCAACAACCGACAAAATTACTTCAACACTACATGCAAAATGTATAATGATAAAAAATAAAACGTCAAAACAGATCAACAAGTATAATAATCATCAGAATAAAATTCACATTAAATATTTAAAAAATATACCCTTGTATAGTATAACTTTATGTTATAAATATTTAATTTATACAACCTACTCGTACTTATACTACTAAGGACTGACGAACCCAAGCAATAATATAAGGATCACATATATGTTCGCACTAGTTTAAGACGCACGTGTGTAGTAATAAGGTTGATTTTACGTTACGTTCCTTATTCAGGCATGTCTGTAAGCTAGACTGGGTAAGTCCACTTGGTTTCACAATTACAGATACATACAGATTCGGATCATGACGTCATTTAGACTCTGTTTCTAATGCATGGGCCACGCTAACAAAGAATACCATTTAATATTGCCCTATTTGTAGCCACGGCCTAACACGATTATTTGACAATGCCATTAACAGTGCCGTTTGGCGTTGAGCTATAGCTTAAGTAGCAGTAACATCAAAGAGATTAACATGAAGACTGGTGTGATGCAGCGACCAGACTAAATCAATGTCAGAATCCAATATCCCGCTAGTAAGTACTGAAGTTAGTCGTTAGCGTAGCCCCCGCATAAGAAAATAACTTCGAACCTTTTCCATACTCCCATCATCAGAGTGACCAAAAGTTGGCAAGAATTATAATAGATGTTACATTTATATAGAATTATTTAAAGTAGATATTATCTATACAATCATATTATCCAGCCTTCCCAAGCTCTTATTTTCAGATCCATCTAAAACAACGCCTCGCATGTTTGAAAAAAATTATAAGAAAATCCTTAAGCAAATTAATAGAAAAAAGGCACTAAATAAATTGCCAACAAAAAATGGTCTGGAAGAGAAATACGCTACAGAATTTCCCATGTGTATCACACAATAGTTTTTTTAATAATTCCGAGTTTAACACACCCCTTAGTTCAAAACATGATCAAAGAATATCCAACTAATATAAATCAATTCGATTCTCCACTACTTACTGATTAAAATTTTATGAATAATCATTCTAAAACTACTTCACTATTAAATATATTAAGTTAAAACCATTGAGCTAACTATTTTTTTCTATTTGACACAGGTAATTTTTTTCATCTATTTTGCATTCTAGTACAAAATCTATACAAAATGGCTGAATTCTCTAAATTTTTTAAAAGCTTGATATTACATTAAATTTATTTAAAAATGTTTCTTTGCTGTACCTTTAAAATTCACTTTAGAATTAACAATTCTTAAACTTTACTTTTTGCAACCCGTAAATATGAAATGTGCGCTGAATATCACAAAATTTACCTAATCAGAATCTTTTTCTTGAACAGTTTTTTGAGTCTAACGGTCTTATACAGGCCATTTCCCAATGAAACCTATGTAACACAGGACCATAAGGTTTGATTTTCAAAAAACAAATGTTAAACATACCGAGCACTACACATAGATATGCAAAAATCCTGTTACAAGAAAAAGACCCTTACATCCTTAATTAAGATAATAACGACGTCTCATCGTAAACACACCGCATTGATACGAGTTAAAAAGTTAGAAGTCATACATAATATGTCAATCCGGCGTTCGCGACACCCAATTCACCCATAGTATTTATAATGGGCTTTTTGTCCAGTGAAATAATGTAGGAAAAAACATCTAACTCAAAGCCATTTTTGCCCTATTATTATTTGACATAATGCGTGACTATTATATAACAGTCCATTTTTTTTTTTACTTTGAATTAAGTATTCTTTTACTATATTATTTAAACGGAATATATTAATTTCATGTCATGCCATGACATTATGTTTATTTTTTATTCCGTGTATAATAAAATTTTCAGTCACTACATTATGTTGACGTTACATTATTTTTCACATCTTTCGTAGGAAACAGGCAATGAGATGTGCACAGGATGAGACGTCAATGTCCAATACGTTGTAAAATATGATTTCTACTTTGTACATAGATAATATAATAACAATGCTTCAAAAGCATTAAATGTTACCAGTAACTCACATTTCTAGTTAAATTTATATAACAACTACATATTTGAATAATTATACTATAGATATATTCTTTACTGTCGTTATAAGGAAAAAAGATGGTTCTAGAAAGATCTCAGTTATCTATTGAAGCTGATGTTGACCACAGAAATGAGCAATCATTTAAGAGGAATGTGTTTAACAGTTGTTACCAACACAATTATATCTTATGTTTATTAATGTGAAAAAATGTTAATTATTTAATGTTCTAAAATCACCAGGTCTTGCAAGGCAAAAAGAAATTGCTAATTTCCTATCGTTTTCAGGTTTCGAAGTAAAAGAAATCTTTATAACAGAGAGCCAAATATAAAGAATTTTTATGTTATTATTATTTTGTACTGCAGGTTTTTTCATTCTTCATTCAAGCTAAGATATGGAGTTGATTGTGTACCTATTTTTACAATCTTCGTTCAAATACTTGACGAGTTCGAAACTCCGAGTTGTTACGATATATACAAGTGTAAACTGCATAATATTAGGTACTCGTTTAGACTGTGTACAAGTATGTACATCGTTTTCGAAAAATCCTCCTTTTTCCTTATAGCGACAGTCAACGTCTCAACAATCGTTCTAGCCTTGCTAGCTAACTTAATATTCTTACATATAAATAGATGTGTAATAAGGGCAGTTTCGTTTCAACAATAAATGACATACGTAGCTTTATATTTTAGTACCTTTCATTCTATTCGATGCACGCAAGGAATTAATTACCATCTTTTAACAGTTCGCCAAGACCCCAAACTACATTAAATTTTACTAAAACAAATATCTATACCGCTATATTAATTTTAGAGACCATTTGGATGATCTCCAATCCCAAAATTGTTCATTTAGAACCTTAAATAAAAGGAGCGATATAGATATGTAACCTTACCTAACAGAATATGAAACAACGCCATCTATTGTGTAAATACCTTAAACATTGGTAATTTGTGAGACATTTTTTTATAACTCTCGGATAAGGGTCACTCGACTAATTTAATGAGCGTTTTCGTGTTTCGTTTAGGGCAATAGAGTTATTGTTTTTGTGCGAATAATTAATTTGCGGCTGTTCCTACGTGACCACGACCTCTTTACTAAAAGAAAAACGACGGAGGTGAACAGATTAATGGCCTTGGAAAGGACAAAAAAACTATATTCTGAAGTCGGTCGAGATTCAAAAACGCTCATTCGAAGAACAAATCCTATAAGAGAATTTGCCTGCAACATTTAAGGCACTTACTATCGGGTGTGTTCCATTCTGTATCATTGCACAATTTATTTGGCATTTTTGTTCTTCTGTTCAGGTACTTTCGCTATGTAGTGGTAGTTGACGAACCGTGCGAGCTGTGTCAGCTGTGCGGCTTCATTGGTGATGTGACAGGCAAACAGCAACAAATTACGCGGCTGCACACGCCACGCGAATCTCATGAACATCAATGAGTATATGGATAAGGCTGGAATGAGAATAATAAATATTTTATTATTTTACTTGCTATTCGAGCGCAATTTTTTGCACTACCGGGAACATAGACTATCCTACACACAACCATTTCCATTGGAATCTGTAGTTCTTGATATTTGCTCCTATATGCACCAAAAAAACTAACAAAAGTTAGTGAGACTCCTAGGGCGACGGAGGAGGAACTAATAATCATTAAATTCATATGCAATAACTTAAGTAAATCAAATTATTATTTTTTGTGTAAGAGGAACAAACGAACAGTCGTATTGGAGAAGGGGAAGAAGCAAGGTTCAAGAAACTACACATTTTAAACAAATCCTAGTGATATTATGTACTTATTATATAAATATGTATAAAAGTTTGTAAATATGGATGGAGAGTATTAATGTTGGTTACTACTTAACAGATTCTAATAAAAATTGGTACAGAGATAGATTATAGTCTGGAATAACATATAGACAATGTTCATCTAGATAACGCGAGCAAAGCCGCTGGCAGAGGCGAGTACTTTATAACTTATTGCTTACTAAAGTAAATAAATTACTTGAAAATAAAAAATACTCATGATTTACAGCGGTAGATACGTACAAGGTTGGAGATAAGACGTTACACGCGTCCGATAAGATCAACTTTATTGAACTGCCGTGATAGCACATCCAAACTAGATCTAACTAAGTACATCCGTGATTACATTTCTACCTTAACATTTTATTGGAGTGATTATTTAGCCCATCTGTCATTTTTCTTTGTCAAGGTTGTCTGTCGCCTTTATCATCAAGTTTTACTAGTTATCAAAGCGTATTTTACGGCCGATAAGAATTACTAAAATCACGTCTGTCTGACCAGGTTGATTTCAGACGTATCACCGTATCACAAATATAATTATACAATATTTATTAAGCATTATATACATTTATTATATGTTACATTTATTGTACGTTTATGGAACATTATATACTTCCGATTAGGAAGGACTACCTATTTCACAACTTGTGCTTGATTTAAATACTTATTGACTAGTCATACATTTTATGAAAAAAAATATAAGCAATACCATAAACATGTGACAAAACCTAATTAGTACATATGGTGCAGTATATTTCGGTCCATTTTTAAGGGGATAAAAATTATCAAATTATTTTAATTATCCCGGCTGAATCAAGAGGAAGTGTCAGACTCTTACTGACTATAAACCACCCCATTCCTTCCAGATAGATTATAGTCTGGAATAATACATAGGCTACTCTTTATCTTAATGCCTACTGTGGGCAAAGCCCCTTCCAGAAATGAGTGTTTAATAAATATGCAATACTCGTTGGATCATGTTTAACCCGTGAGTGGGAAGGAATGATCCATTACCATATTAATGTTTTATAACTGACATTCCCTCGTATCTCGTATAGGCCGATAATAAAGTTCACATTACCATAGTTTGTCATTACCTACTACGTAGATACATATACACCGTTTTATCTATTTGATTATGTAAAGGACACTGTGTTGTAATAAGTTTTAACTATTGACGTAAATATACATATTGTGATGCAAACAAGATAAAAATAAACTAGTTTTTATCCATGGGAAAATGTAGCCTAAATATCTCATATTGCAGTTTTAATTGCCTCGCCGAGGTTGGGAGCTAAGCATAATAGCACACCGCGGCCCGTCTCGGAACAGGAATTAGTGAGGAGTGTTTAATTATTTATTACTTCATGCACAAAACATTGAACACTAACGGACTTAATGTATTGAGCATTTTTTATAAGTACTAGGTTGAGTCATTTGATGATTTTCTCATCCGCAAACGCCTACTAACTAATCTCTAAGAATCGGAATTTCGGCAAATAATGGAGTTGGTAAGAGAAGACCCTGTGGAAAGGTGACGAGGAGTTGACGTCTATACACTCTTTGACGTCACAGAAGGCACTGAATCTAGCTTGGGGATTAGTAGGCTAATTCATACCTTAAAACAGGTCTAAGGAACGTGACAAGGGAACTTCGAATTTATGTGCAAATAAGCAAGCAGTTTTACCCATGGCTCAGTTTGTTTCGACTGTACCAAAAGCGTGTTGTTTTATGGCCTAGTATTTCCTTTCCTTCATTTATAGCCAAATCAACTATAAAAATACCGTATGGGTCAAGCTAAATAAAACCATTTAAAAAGACGTATTTTTCACTTACCTAATGTCATTTTTCCACTGATAATGCTAGGGTCTTTCTGTATATCTGCAATTGCGGCTAAAGGTATTCCCCAGTTGGCTACAGGACCCCAAAAATGAGTGCTGGAAATTAAAGTTTTTTATTTTAAAATTAATTAAAATTGTTTACGATCTTTAAACACAACAAACTCTTTTTGTGCCTTCCTTAAATATATTTTATTTTATATTTAAAAAGTTACTAAATATAGTTAGTAGACAGTAGATTCAAAAAAGGTTGATGGAAATTCTTCTATAACTTGTTGCAAATTTGACATTTTTAACCAAACTTTTGCAAACAATAACACTAAAAATGAAGCATGGATATAACTATTCACCAATAATTTAACGTAATTTATTATTTACTTACCTCATCAAATATTGCCTGAACTCTTTGCTTTTTAGCTGCGCTATAAGCTTCCCAAAAAGGTTACTCATTTTGACTGTAAAATAAAAGAAAAAAAATTACGGTAACCCCAAATGAATATGGTACACACATCACAACCTGAAACCACATAAAAAATATTATACATTAACAGATTTAACCTAAACTATCACATCATGCCACAATTTTGATATAAAGATTGTATTGAGCAAATCATAGTGAAAAGAAATTTTACTTTTTAAAGATAAGATAAAAGGCAAGGTTTGAATTTCAATCTGTAAAAAAGTTTGTAAGCAGATAGCAGATTTTGACAAGATATATGTAGGTATATTAAATTTTGTTATTATTAAAATACATTGCATATTAATGTCTACAAATATGCATCATCATCATCATCTTGCAGGCCTTATATCACAGGGGTGAAAGTATAGTTAGATTTTTAGATAGAAGTTTTTGTTTTATTATGCTTTGTTACTTTTGGAATATAATTTTGTTATTAATGACATGTGTTCGTTAACAAAAATATTGTCTTATATTCGCCATCACTGAGATTTAGTGGTTTAAAATTTTGAGAGTTTTTTCAAACAAAGGTCTTGTATGGAAAAATCAGTCAACATTTAAAAGGGTGAAATCTCAGCAATGGTGGATGACAGACAATTATTGAACAAGTAAGAATTTATTTTATAACAGACATAAATTACATTAATTACATAAATTGCAAATGTATTTTATTTAAGCAATAAAATTGTTTAAATAAAATACATTTATAATTTATTGGTTAAATTAAATCTAAGCATGAGAAATTGGTTTTGTTAAATAGCAGAATGACAGTTTTATGAAAAAATAATAATATTATTTTGTTACAAACTTTTTAACACATATGAGAGTACTGTAAGTGTTCAATTCTGAACTTATAAGTGTTAAATTCTGAACTTTTAATTTATCTATACTAATATTATAAAGAGGTAAAATTTGTAAGTTTGTAAGTTTGTATGTAGGGGGTAAACTTAAGAACCGCTGGTTGGATTGCTAAAATTCTTTGACTGATAGATAGCTACAATGTTCCTGGGTGCTGTTATAAAATATCACGCTACGATCAAATGGAGGCGAGCAGAGGGTGAAGCCGTGCGAGAGTAGCTAGTATTTTTATAAAATTGTTGCATTATCACTAGTTTTTAAAAATCAAAATACTGTTTTTGTAAAGCTGAAGTGAAAGCAGTTTATACATATTGAAATCTGATATGGAAATGTGCCCATTATTGATTTGACCTTGTCATAAGATACTGAATCAAAGTTACTTCCGCACCAAGGGACCTTGCTACAAATATAAATGTGAGGACAATTTCATTCTCTATTAAGTATAATTAACAAACAAATATTTGTCACCACGGCTAGAATTTTATAACAAGGTTAAACATGTATTATAAGCAAATCAAGAAACGGTACGTACAATATGCTAAATTTAATTTACAATAATTACGTATGCATTTTGTCGCCAGTTCGTGAAAATAATTCGATGAATGTTTTATGTCTATGAACATCTGAACAATCCACGTTTAATTTGGAATACTTACATTATTTTAAATAAGTTTTCCGTCTACAATATTCAAGATTATTTTCTTTTTTATATTTTTTCGTCTCTGATGGCAACCGAAACGTCCTGTCCTTTTAAAATTCTTACCAATGTCAATGCCACTATTGTCAGTATGTGTGTCAGTGTCATGCGGACATTTCTGATAGAACCGCTGCCAAGTGCCAATGATAAGCTAGCAAGTGTGCCCAGTATTATTTTACGAGTATGTATTTTATTTTATTTTATTTATTGTTAGTTAGTTATAGGTACTTAAAATCAACTATACAGATAATTACGGATTTACAATTTTATAACGTTACATATAATTGCTACAGAACGGATTTCTTTATATGCTATAGTCAGACTTTTAATTCGATTCCTGATTTGACACAAAGAGTATGTAACCACTACGATTTGACATTGACCACTGTCATTTTGTGAAATAATGATACCACATATAACAGTTTAGTGATGAACACAAAAATCGATAAACAATCAGTGAATCAGTTTTAGGAAGGCATTCAAAAAAATCATCATCATCAGCCTATGTGCCCACTGCTGAGCAAAGGCCTCTTCTCACACGGAGAAGGTTAGAGCATTAATCACCACGCTTGCTCAATGCGGGTTGGTGATTTCAAACTTATAATTAGAAATTATAAGTCCAGGTTTCCTCACGATGTTTACCTTCACCGTATGTCAGTGGTGTCTAAATAATCACAGAAAGTACATATAACCCGGAAAAAGTCACATTGGTACTTGCCAGGTTTCGAACCCGCACCCTCATGCATGAGAAGCGGGCGCCTTAACCTCCGGGCCACCACGACCATAAAACAAAACCACCATTCAAAAAAATACGGCTACCGAATGTATCCCACGTTTTTAAAGAAGAGGAAAAAATGAGTAAGCTAGATATGTTAATTGACAATAAATATCAAAGACACAATTCATAATAAATGTTACACAGAGTAACGACGATAGCGATAGCGATGACGGCGACAATTTATAAAATGTCTGTTTTATTTGTCACGTTCCTTCATGATCACGTTTTTTATTAATTTCACACACAATTACAAAAGAAAAGTCTCAGATCGTTATAACTAAATTATCGGTTCAGAAATATTTTATTTCCTGATAAACTTAGTTTACAAGAGTAAATTTATAAACGAGAGGAATCGATTCAGAAATATTCGATTTCCATATCGAATAATTTCGCAACGTCACTATTTATTACGTGTCATAACGTTGCAACACTGAAATTGTCAAATCTGGAATGGAATTAAAATTCCGAGGTATCATCTTTGCATAGAGTTGCGCATAGTCATAGATATTATATGTATAATTGGACTAAAAGCCAGCTATCCGCATTCTCATTAATGCGCTACCTATACTTGTTGTATGTAGGTACCTACACCCATTGAGATAGAAAATATATAGAGGCGCCGTGTTACTATAGAAGTATACATGCTTATACAAATATGAGGGAAATATGAAACAAACTATGAAATATCATTTTTTCTCACTCTTTCTAAGGCAATAATTGTATTAGACAAAAGAGACAACAATATTTAAGTTGTTGCTTAATATGGAAACAAATCATTTTGACATTAGCAAAGTTGTAGGTAAGTGCCATGTCCGCCATCTTAAGCGCTCAGAGTACCTGAGTTTCATGGTAGTTGTCCTGTCAAACGGTTGTTTATGTTTTAAATTATTGCGGTTTTTCAGTAAATTACAAAGAACCATTTCTTTAAACTTCAAATATATATAGTGAAACAAAAAAACAATATGCCTGTGTGTTGTATTGTGCAGTGTGGTACAAAAAAGAACGAAAATCAACCTCAATTGTCTTTGTATAGGTTAGTAAACAGTTTTCATCAAATATTACTTAGAATAATCCACATAGATAGAAAAAAATGTCACGGATACTTTAATCTATTGCCAAAGTATATATATTTACTTTTATTTCTGTCTGTGAGACAGTTTTAGTAAAAAATTGTTGTTTACAATAATATGTCAATATGGCATAGTTACGTACCATTTCACAAAAGTATCGATATAATCTCCCATTTAAAATTCAACATATATTATATTAGAAAGTAAGACGTCAGTATTTTGGTATTGGTTTTAGTTACATAAGTAGAAGTTCAAATTATCATGTTTTATAATCATACGGGCGCGATTGACAGAGCGGCGTTGGCGACGATCCCAGTGCGACCACCAAGCGTAATAATAAAAAGTGAGATACATACAATAAGATTGACTTCACTACATATCTATTTTGTGCTAACGTAGTTTCGAAGATATCATCGCTTAATCAGACGCGCCGAAATTGTGCGCGAGCACTTCACAAATACCCACAGGTTTTCCACATATATAAAGATAAACATTTAACAAACACTATCTTTTTCTATTTCACCATTCCATTAAACGCTGTTCATAAACACAGTCCTATTTTTTTAAAAGACGCATTACGTAGAATTATATGAATACAAATTCGACTTGAGAAAATCATTAGCCAATCAAGAGACCAAGTTAACCCCGGGTTCCGGGTTCTAGCTAGGCCGACGGCAAAGTAGGAACAGGAGTTGATTTTAGTCAGTAACGGTCTGTCTCGAAAAAGGCCGGAGATGACATTAGATGATTTCCCATAAAAAAATACCGTTAATCAGCTGGCTAATCCCTAAAACTATACCTACGTAGAACTTTTACTCAAATTATATCGATACTCGTTAAATACTTAGTCGGCACAACCCTAGCAACGGCAGCCATCTTATGCGACATTTTGGATTGTAGGTAGGCACCTTCTTTTCGTAGGTATTTCAAGTCCATATATTTCCTATGTCAATGCCTACACCTTGTACTTCAATCGCACTCATTCAGGCGCGGTAGTTTTAAACTGATAAATCTCGAAATCATATACTTAGTATAAAGTTTAATTTTGAGGATCATAAGTATGGAGATTTTTTATGATCAAATTATCTATTCCTCTAAATAGTTCCGCCAGATTTCTCTGTATTTGACCGTCTGTCCCGTGTCCTGACCTTATCTCCCTGAGTTTATCACAATCTGTGCCGGTGTGTCCAAAGAGTATATAATACTACGTTGGTGCGTCCGACTAAACATAGTGGTTACATACTCTTTGCGTCCGACAGCGTCCGTCATTCAAATTCAAAACATCAATACCTACCTTACGATTTTTGCAATTCAAAATTCATATTGTAAAATGTAAAAAATAATTCAACGAAAAACGCGAAACACAAAAAATGCAGGGATTACCTTGAAATGCGTGCACCACAACGCAAGTATGGGAAAGCGGAAAATGTGCAGTCCCGACGAAGCATGGGGATATTCCGCGTGCTCGTTTTTTTTTACATGATCTTATACGTTGGTGTATATCTTGGACTAATAATGATTCTGCTTTATATTAGACGTCTCGTTCTATTGGCTTGCAGGTTGGTATTAATAAGCCTGTAACATAGGTAGATATAAAATATTTAAACAGCGGTGCTAAGCCCAACCGGGCCACAGCGCCACCATTTTATTATGGACTGCCCACGGACCGCCGTAACCTATGCTACGCGTGGTCCTCGTAGTTACGCCCGACAACTGAACAGTTCGAAGTAGGAGAAAGAATTCTCCAAAACTTACCTTTTACTAAAGTTTATGTATCGTTTTATTTACAGCGTTCGCGAGGAAACTTTTATAACATACGATTACCAATAATTTACGTGATGATAAGAACTGTTAAAGAGCAACTAAGTATGTAGTTTCGGAAAGTAACAAGCGAAACGTGCGAGTGCTTCGGTATGGATAAGCTCGCCGAACCACCCTCACAGAAAGCCGACGTCAAACACTGCTTGCGTTGTGTTTCCCGTATGAGTTTACTGGATGTCCAATCCTGTTGTTTATCATTTCCAAATCCGCAAAAGGACCGGCCGGTAACGCGCTTGTTACCTGTGTTAGTTCAGTTTGCAGAAAGCTTACCATGAAGTGGTATGTCCGCTTACGTCCCGGCTTATCCCATAAAGCAAAAAGCGATGCAATTTTACGACATTCCCAGAAGAGGTATCTACTCATTCATTTGCGCAGTCAAACACAGTCAGAAGAAGAAGAACGGGTGGAACAAGATGTATTAAAACAAACTTACCTAGGTAAATGCAATGTTATAATGTAATGTATTTTATTGTGGTACTGATGAATTTATTATAATAAATATATAAATATGTACTACCTATTTAGTTACATTAAATGAATTATTATAAATCTAGAGTAGGTACCCACTTCCCGTGACTTCCTGCATGGCTGCATACCTACTACCTACCTACCACGCCATAAATGTACTGTTTCTTTAAGCATTGTATACCTACCACCTATAAAATACTTTGTGGATTGCAAATAAATGACATGATACTTCTCTGCTCTGCCAAAAGGACTTTTTTGTCAGGCGGAAATCATTAAATGACCTCCCGCCCGGGTTAAGGCGAGAGTTTCACTCTTACCTACTGACTAAAAACCCCCGTTCCTTCTCCTGCTCTAGGCCGAGGCCGCGATAACTCATTGCGCTTAACCCGCAACCCCGGCTGAACATCAGCCGATAGGGTCCTATAGGGTCTTTCCTACTGGCTCTTTGATGCGCGCGTGGAACGCTACGCGCCGTCCGCTCGGGCCTGGTTCTTACTTACCGACCGCAGACCCGCGCTTACGGTAGCCGGCCTAAAGGATGGCGCATGCGCAAAATCCTGTTATCGTGCAATCCTACTACCCTACTCATCCTCCTACTAATGTCAAAGTTCATGAGAATGTATGGATGTATGTTTGTTATTCTTTCATTTAAAATTTGGTTTGTAGATACCTAGGTGAGACCTTGGATTAACATAGGTAGTATAGGCATAGGCTGATTTTTATCAAAATATGACGCGGGCGTAAGCTGGTTGTTTATAAAGAATAAATAAGTACATATACTTACTTACCTGCTGCGATATCTCCTGCAAGATTCACACGTAGAAAACCTTTGTGTGGTATCACAGCACGTTGCCAAGAACTGCGCCATGTGCCTGGCTGCACAGGCAGTGCAGTGGTTGGGCAACCAGCTTTGTCACACGATATAGGCAGAAATTAAGAAAATATTTTTATTTCATTCAATTTACAACTTAGTTCAATGATCGATTCACACTTTCGACGCTTTTGCTGGACTACAGAAACTCACATGACCCCTTTTCAGAGCGGATCAGTCTCATTTGTTGTCGTGTTTCATTACTGGTAATGCCGTTAGGGCAGGCGATGTTTTAGAAGACAATGCTTCAGGATTGGTGGTTGTTTGTTGTTATTGGGGGATGCTGTTAATAATAAATAAATATTCACGGAATGCAAAGACTGCACGTCTAACATGAACTTTTTTGACATAGACTGGACTATCTTTTTAATATAAAAATAACTCGCAAAAGTAGATATTGGTAAGCGCTTTTAACAACACTTGGACTAATTTAACAGATTTATTTTGGTAGTGTTTATATTATTGGCAGTATAAGGTTCTCACGAAAGAAAATTTTAGGAAAGCAGAGGGGAATGAAATCGGGAAACTACAACCCTTTAGTCGTTCGTCATTAGCCAGGGTTAACGCGTTGCATAGCAGCCGGTTGCCCAGCCACTACGCCAACCGTGCATTCAAATAATAATAATTTTATTACAATACATAACTTATTTATTGTAATCTACAAGTTCTTCGATACTTATAGCCTATAGTATCCTACCTACTATACGATTCTGAAGCTGAAGTCACGTTGACTTGCACTGTCAATGCCAAACAACAATCAAAACAGTCACCACAATAGCCAAAAAAACCAAACAAAATGGGGAAACTAATATAAACAAAATGTAACTTTAGAACATAATAATGAGAAAACCAGTTAACAATGTGTACATGTTAAATATGGGAAAGCAGAAAATGTGTCGCCCAGACGCAGCATGGGAATCTTCCGCATGCTCGTCATATCATACATGATCATATACATCACCATCTACTTTGGATTGATCATAGTACTGGTTTACTTGAGAAACTACTTCATACTACTCAGCAAGTATGTAATCCGTACTATTTTATTCATCTTTCTAACACCTCTTCAATAATTGCCTATACATACTTCATTGCCTTTTAGATACTAAAGACTTTACCTACCTAACGTTATTGCGATCGACCCGTTTATGACGTTCTGTGCTCTGATTGGTTCGGTGCTCCTGGTTAACCAACCTATCAGAGGTCTGAATTCAGTAACGGTTTTTTTTTTGAGGAGGAACGCCTTTGTTCTTCGTCGAGGATTGTCACCCTCTTACTAACTAATCAGAACCCCGTTACTACGCCTACCCGGGACCGGTTCTGCGGTACATTATTTCGCTTGTACCCCCAAACCTAGCTGAAACACGTTAACCGAAAGCAGTTGCACTAGGCTCTCTTTTTTTTCATCAGCCCATCAGGTCTATTCTATATGGCCCCGTCTGTAGTGATCTATTGGCTCTTTGAGGCGCACTAGGCATTCTGTAAAATGAAATTGGGCTACTTTTCAAAACGAGCTTCGTAAATATATCAAAGTTATTAACATTTATGAAACCACAGTGTCATCACAATTGTTATTTTAATATAAATAAGAAATATAAGGAGTGACCTAATTTCATTGGTAACCAGTATAATTAGTCTACTAACAAAATATTTTGTTTTAGCGCAAACCATGAACAGTACCAACACTATGGAGAGTAAAACTCGCAACTATTTCAAAGTTTTTATTAATAAAAATATTACAAAAGGCACTGTTATGGACGGTACATTTATATCAGCATTCACTTCACATGGAAATACTGGAATGTGGGACGAAACTAAATGGAAAAAGTATCTACATTCATATTTGAAACATCAATTCAATATGTGCATACTCTATTTGTAAAATAAATTTAAGGGTAAGAATGAGTCAATTATAATCAAAGTATTAAAAATATTACATTGTTTAATTATTTCCCCACTAAGCACTGTTTCCAATGTCTAATAAGTCAGTAAGACAGACAGAATGACAATACGAAGTATTTTTCAATACGAAATATCTGTCTGTTAAGCTAACTGCAACTTAATAAGACATTGTAACAGTATCATTCTAAATAACATCTTTACACTGATATTTCAAATAAGAATTAGAATTAATTAAATTTAAAATATACTAAATATCAGTATCCATGTTAAACAATGTAGTATTTTTAATTGCATTTAAATTATATTATACAAACACGCAATGTAAATCATAGTTATGCTTGTTTGCTTTACGTTAACATGATCGATAAATTCATGACGTCCGGCGCTTTGATTGGCCAGCTCCAAGTTAACCAACCAATCAGAGGGCTAAACGTGGCAACGTTTTGTTCGCGTTAACGTAAAAATAACGAACACTCTACACTCTTTATCTCCAACATATTGACATGTACAAATGTTTAAAAAAAAATAAAGTAACTTGTGCAATTGATTCTGTGTTTTATCTATTTTAATTGTAATAAAATGTGAAGATTCCTCTCTTTTAAATATAAAAAATATAATAATATAAACAAAAGTTTTTATAAATGAAAAATACAAACGTATTCGTAAATATATAAAAATAATCAGGTAGTTCATTCTTTATCTTCAGATATCCTTAGAACACATTAATTCCATTGCATTTACAGAAAAGTCATGCAATCTGTGTACAAAATAATATGTCTACAACAAATGTTTTTTTTTTATAAAAAAAAATTTACCGCATACATTGCCACAAGTTAACAGAAATGTAGCTGCTCATACTTTTGCAAAAGGCGGAAGATATTACGTGTATTTTTGTAAATCTCAATTTTGTAAGACCAGCTTAGCTAAAAAAACCTTTCAATGGTGTAATTAAAAATAACATATTCTGCCACTTTTGGTACAAACGTCACTGTGTGCAAAGCAAATAAGATTCATCTGTTAATATTCAACCTTTTTTAAAAAATAATGCAAGCTTTTCTAAGAAACTTATGAACTTAATGTCTTTGCACCTTAAAACTAAATATAGAAAACCTTACCTAAATTACTCTTACAGTTGCTATTAAAAACGTAATAATATACATTAATATTTGTAAAATCTCAGCCTTAAATGGACGGCCTTCTGTTATACACATACTAAAACAAAGTACGCGTAAAATTAAGTCATTATTTAAGTAATATAATATCAAAAAATAACTAAATAAGAAATAGTAAAAAAACAATACATAAAATATTACTTAGGCGTAATACTAGTAAATGTTTAGAGATTCTATATCAGCTGATTTGTGCAGGAACTATAATTATCGTGGAGAACTAAGATGCTTTATGGAGATATGGATTTATGGTTACCTTTTTATGAGAGAGGGCAGCAAACTCGTGATGGATTGACTTAATAATAGATGCAAAACATATTTGACATACTTAATTGTTTTATGGTGTTAGACGGCAAACTAGCAAAGAAAAACATTCACCGACAGACACCCCCAAAATCACAGGTATTACTAGTGCTTTGCCACTCTTATGGGAGTTGTTAGGGATGTAAGGATTAAAAATTTGCAATTGGAGAAGGGTAGGGAAAGGACTGGTTGTATGGTAACCTCACTCACACGACAAAACATAATTCACGCTAGTTTTCTGTGAGGCCGTTGTACCACTCCAGTCGAAAATACCTATTCACTTTTATATTAAACGGGAGATTTGTTCCTCCTACTAAATTAATATGTTTTGAAGTCTTGTATAGCTGCATTTAGCTTGTATATACAGTCTTAGTGTATAAAACATCAGATCTATAGTTTTATAAAAAGTACTGAATAGTTCTATAGCAAACTATTGATATGTTAAGTCGATATAAAACCTTATGCCTATAACTACTTTGTCTGTTTCTGTCTTTTTAAACAGGACCAATATTAATTGTATATATTAATTGTCCATAAACTTTATTCATCTACAAATATGTTCTTAGATTGGTAAATTAGTCTCTATGACCCATATTAATAGTGATGTAGATATGCTACATATATAATCGCAAATATAAAAATATTCATCATTCCTTTGACCTAAGGACGAATGATGGCAGAAAATTAGAAGACTAACTGACTGATTTGTATTCTAGTTGTAAGATAGATTTAATAAGCTGCAAAACTAAAAAAAATATATAAAGATTCTTCCTACTCCTTATTTTTCATAACAAATAAGGAAAAACAACTTTAATACTTCACTTTACGTTACACTTTCCTATGATCATTTGGATTAGATATGTATTTTATTAATAAAATCATGTTATATATTTTTCCGCAAATACAATCGTACAGATACCAGCTCATAAACCTACCCATTCTGTAGTCTTTCTTTCATAGAAAATGGACTTTCCACGTATGCAAATAAAGTTAAAAATCGACTAACTTGTTGGGGTAGGTTGACCTGCCAGTGTTATATTAAATACTTATCTCAGTTTGAAAACAAGGAATAAGACAGTCAATGTAACAAATAGACTGCTCTGTATCGACGCCGCGCCAGCTAACCTGCACTTAAACATGTCGATTCTCGTCTCCTTATCAGCAATAATGTTCTGGAACTCGGCTTCAACGATCTGTCCATCGTAGTAAGTGATTGGATCTTCGAATGGGTACTCGTAGCCTTGGAGACACTCGCATTTGTAGCCACCAGCTTCGAAACCACGGCCTAAGATTGGTACACACTGGAAAAGATTTTTTATGTATTGATTATAAGGTTGAAATTAAAGAAAAGAAGGAAGTTAGAAAAAAGCATTTATTCAGACGCAAATCATGATATAAAGCACATAGTTATAGTACATAACAAATGATTGTATGGGTTGAAAGTTACAAGTGTGCGTTAAAATGGATCTTGCGGTAGTATTCTACTGACCATTAGGTATATGACTTGCGAATGAAAAGTATAAAAGAAGATGGAAAATGACTTATTAGTATAGTTAACAAAAAAAAAAAGAAAAAAAACAACACAATAAAATGTAAAAGAAGATAATTAGTTCACAACAATAAAATATACAGAAAAATTAAAAACAAACATTTTTAGTTTATATATAAGGCAATGAGCGGTCGGCCGCGCGATATATGCTGACGTACTTAGATATTGACATCGTGTAGTATATTTACATAATAGAGCAAATTATAACTTTAAGTTGTTAAATTTATTTAAGAGCAGAGCAGAATACAAAATAATATGAAATTAATTCGAGGATTCTTCTTGAGAATTTATGTATCCTACTCCCGACCCTCAAGAACAGCTACCCGCTCTTCCAGGTTTATCAACCTGTCCTGGTAATCCCTCACAGTCGTACGGACATCCGCAATATCAGCCCTAAACAGTTGCATGTCCCTATTGATTGATCTTATACTATCCCTAAACAGCTGCATGTCTTCATTGACCGATCTTAGACTATCCCTAAAGGCCCTCAATTCATCCATAATTTCTTTAGTCATGTCCTCAGCGGGGTCAGATGTAGTTTGACTGGTGCCTATAGAGTCCTTGCGGCTTGGATACTTGGATGCATAGGGCTGCTTAGGGTTGTCCCCATTGGGTGTTTCAGCCTTTATCGTAAAGTGAAGTGTGATTTTTTTGTTGCATTGAAAAATCAAAATAGTTTTTAACTCTTAGTTAAAAACTACTTTGATTTTTAGTACACACATGTAAGAAAATAATCAACTATGTATGATGACTATAATTTTGGGCTGAACTATGGTAAAAAGTAAACATGCACTTTGAGGAAACCTGGATTAGTAATTTATAAGATTGTTTATCGTGAACAATGTTAGCCTTATTTATTGAATTAAAGAAATATGTACTAGTATGGTGGTATTACAGTAAACATGTGTTCAGATAAAATCGATTATTAGACGAATCATGATACCCTATGTTTCCTAGACTTATTGACTATTCAACAAAAACAAAAATCCATTTATTACTTCAGGATATTTGTGTGGGCAAACAGACAAGCATACATACACTTACTTGCTTGTGTATAAGCGGAATAAATATATAAAAAACTACTTACATAAGATGAGCTTCTGTCGCACTTGTCTGTGCCTTTAAAAGCATTTGGCACGTAGTACTTGTCCGGACACTGGTTAATATCTAGAGACATCAGTGCCATTGTTACTGCTACAACACCTCTGTAAAGATATATATAATAATTAAAACTGCCATATTAGCCTATTATCTTCTAGCTTTGTAATATTCACAAAAAATACTAATACTGAGTTACAGCGAATACACTATTGTCACCACTTAATTGGCTAGTTTCTTCAGTCAAAAAGAAATTAAATCAAATAACAAAGCTACTAAAATACTTAAAAATAAAGACAAACCCATTAATTTAACATTAAAAAAATATAAGAATTTTTAAATTTTTTTGAGATTTTAGATACTTATTCCAGAGAAATGTGTATGCTATTCGACGAAAAAAGATGACGTCACAACGTGCAGTTTTGACATTTCGGAAACCACAGAACAGAAAATTAAGTAGAAGTGCCCCTACACTCTTTCAAAAGGAAAACCAGTGTCGCCAAAATCACACATTCGCAAATCAAATTGTCCATTACACACATAAAAAACAGCTATATAATTGGGTAAAAACATGAAACGCAACTTTAGCAAATCATCTTCTAAATGTTGTTAAAAATTGAGTCTTATAACAATGAGCGAAAGTTGTTATCATTTCACATGTCACAATCAATAAAGGCGTCTATCGTGTAAAAAACTTAAATAAAACAATTTACAAACGGGTTCAGCCACTCAACGCTAGATGGCGCTGTAACAAAATTCATTCTATTCAAAACGCTAACTTCTTTGAAATAGATGTCATATTTGTATGCACTTGTACCAATAGACATTTACTATTTTGCTACTCAGATAGGGCAGGGTATCCCAATATATCGATGTTTTTGTATTCGTGTGAGCAATATAATTTATCGACACGATATACCTACAAATGATCAGTAATGAAAAAGGTTCTAATAAAAAAAAAAAAATTAACATATTTTTTGAAGATTTAATGTTTTTTGGAGATGGTCAAGTTATTATTAAAGATTTCGATTTTAACATATAAAAGCACTACGCGCTCCTACCAGTTTTATCTCCTTTCCTAAAATAGAATCATTAAAATCGGTTCATAAATAACGGAGACGAAAAAAACAAAAAAAAATGTTACAGTCGAATTGAGAGTCACTCTCCTTTTTGGAACTCTGATAAAAATCATGTACAACATTTATACTTATAATAAATCTGTAGAGGGGTCAATTCTGTACATTAAATATATTTTCAAAATAACTACCAGGGGGTGATTAGTGATCGATACTGATGCCAAAAATGCAATCAGTAAAAATTTTGTCTGTCTGTCTGTCTGTCTGAATGTTCTTTATAGAAACAAAAATTACTCGACGGATTTTAACAAAACTTGGTACAATTATTCTTTATACTCCTGGGCAGGTTATAGGATACTTTTCATCACGCTACAAATAATAGGAGCAGAGCAGTGAAGGAAAATGTTGGGAAAACGGGAGAAGTTACTCCCTTTTGTAAGTTTCAGTCGCGTGTGTAACCTTAATGGTTACATTAAGGTTACACACGCGACTGAAACTTACATAGAAATTATGTATGACGGAAATATTTTAAATAAAATTGTCAAAAAAGTATAATATAATATAGGTTTTATCAAATATTTGTAACTCTTACCTATTAGTTAGATCCGTACCTTTCTATCTATTGACGGACGGACTGCGGAGACTTAGTAAGTAATAGGGTATTTACCCATTGGAGATGTATAAAAATGAGACGATAAATACCAAATTTGATGTATACTTAGATTTTGTTCTTTTGCTATTTGCTGCTTTTTATCAACACAGCACGCGGGCGAAGCCGCTGGCGAAAACTAGTTATAAAATAAAAATGGTGATTAACCACCCGCACCTGCCACAGACGGATGCACGCTGTGTGTGGTTAAAACGTTGATGTGTCTATGCAATCTTAGTTAAACATTTATGAATTATACACAAAAATTGTCAAAAATCAATTTTCTGAACGATGATGATGAAAAATTATCGATATGAACCTATTTTACGAATATGTCGCATCCCTAAATGAGTAGCGTCGAAACTACTAGAATGTATTGTATATAACGTCACATAACGAACAAGTAGATTTAAACTTAATTGTAATGAAAATAAGGCCCTTTATAGTTTGCATTGAAGTAATGAAATGTGATATTTACATTAAAATCTAATATATTTAAAATTAACAAAGGTTAATACTCAAAGATGATACGATACACCACCACAAGACTCATCTTTTTTTCTGCTTACGTTTTTGCAGTTAAAAACCGCACAACAAGGCATAATTTCTAATATATTTCGTGTTTCTTAGAGACAACCATGACAACCAATCATGACAACGGATCGAACGATTCTGACAACAAATGTGCCAAAATGTTGTATATCTAGTCATCATGTTGGTTAGCGCGCGATGTCTGAGGGGCACTTCCACTGTATTTTCTATTCCGTGTCGGAAACGATAAAATTATAAACAAAATCTGTTTCAAAATCATGAGTTTTCGCATCAACCAGCATATTTAGGTATTTTCTGAGACAAAGCTATAAAAATATCGAACTCACTTGAACTCCAGCTTGACTTTGACGCTATCCCATCCAAAGAATGGTGCAGCGTAAGTTATGACCCATTGCTTAACATGACCATCGCAGTCATAGTACGGCCTCGTCCAATGGCCATGTTTCAGATTGGCTGCCCGGTAGTAGGTAGGGAATCTTTCATACTTCTTCAAGTACTTCCCAAGCTCATCATCTCTGATCTTCATTTTAAGGAAGAACTGCTCAAGGCTGTCGAAGTTCGTTGACCAACGTTGCTTCAAGAATTGGAACCATGGCTTGTTAGTGTAAGCTTCCTCTGTAAAAATAATTAAAAATATGGTCAACACTTTTTTTCTCAAACTCTTTTTTAACCTAGGCCCAACACTAGGATTATTTCCTGTATCGTGTGTACATTTACAGAAAAACAAACTGACTATACATCTGACTGCACTGACTTTAGATCTGGAATAACAATTTATGGATCACACGAAGAGTTGTTCTGTTGTGTTCTTGCTAGTTCTTCTCCATTCAAATGAGCAGACGCAACTTCACCGACGATCAGAGGAACTTCACTGACGACCAGACTGACAGACTATTATTCTATTTTGACGTTTCAAAAGTACCTAATTTTTGGTTTAGTTGGAATAAATGATTTTGATTTTGACTTTGACATTTGACAGCAGGCTGCCCAACCTCCGAGTCAACTGTGCTGGTATGGGTGTGATGTGTATGTGAAATTTTATGTTTGTAAACGCAACAACAACACAGGAGAAAAACCTAGTGCGTGGAAAAGTTAATTAAAAAAAGAAATTTCGGTAAGTCAAGAAGACCAAGAATATCGGGATTCATTTTTGAGTATAGTGTAGTGTGTACTACACTACACTTCAATACTTTCAAACTTACCAGTTTTGTTCAATCGCGCCAGATCTTCCAATTTGAACTTCCTAGTGTTCAACTCAGTCTTGTACGCGAAAGGCGCGAAGAAAGTTCTGTTTGTGAACTTATTTCTGTCCCAGTAGGTACCTAGAAAATAATATCAGATAGTGATTACTAAACATTCTATCTAATTTTCATTTTTATATTAGCAAATAAGTTTAACAATTTCACGTCCTAATTTTTTATGGACACCTTTTTTTTGTGAGGGAAAAGTCATCAAATGACTTCGCCTGCCCAGGGTCGGGCGGGAGGGAGTGTCAGACTCTTACTGACTAAAAACCCCCCTGTTCCTTCTCCAGCTCTGGGCCGAGGTCGCGGTGCCTTATTGCGCTTACCCCGCAACCCCGGCTGAACATCAGCCCTATGCAACACCATATTAGTATCAGGCGGTGTTGCCAGCCTAATAGTGAAATGCTACTCAATTTCAATATGTAGATTATTAAATACCGTGGGTGAGTTTATAGTATTGTGAGTGTTTCAAAATTGAGTGCAGTTTGAATATAGGTTATTAAGATTCAAAATTAGCGACTCCCAAGTGGTTTCTCGGCTTTTATTGATCCAAGCCATATTAAAATGACAAACATAACGTGTCTCAATTAGACTACACCCCCATCCGATATTATCCGAAACTTTTATTTCGGATTCGGTTACGGATACTTTTATACATATATCGGGTATTTGATAGTTTCGGTTACGGTTACGGAGCTCTGCGGAGCTGATATTAACTATTGATGTGCAACTCACCAGCCGACCATATCTTCGAGTCTCCAAGTACAATGGCAAGTGTCTCTCCTGTCATTTGATCTTCAGTCAGTGGCTTATCAGCGACTCGGTTACCGCTGAACACCTCTTGAGGATCGGACACCTGATTAAATAAATACAATTATTAATGTAGGAAAAACACCCTCAATAAGGTATTCTGAACATCAGTTATGTTGATACTAGTAAAGCAACCGAGTTTATACTGACAATACGGTAGTTTCGAATTAGTCAAATTTAATACTTTTATCCAAATGTCAAAAACAATACTTTTCTATGAAATTTGTATGAAAAACTGAGTCATAACGTCATAGTATTTTTGCGTCAATTAGTATGCGTCAAAAATACTTATTTCTTAATAATTAGCTACAAAATATCTAAATCTTAGTGTATCGATCACTCGATGAATAAAAGTATAGTTATATATCAAAATTTTATTGAAGTGTAACGTCGAATTAATTTATTTTTGATCTAGGAAACTACCCAATTGAGTTTGGGCTTTATTATAATGCAATAAAGTAGAACTATAACATTTTTTGCAGTTACTCCACCTAGGACATAGTTAGGATGGTCTCCTACGTCTTAATATTAATTCACATAAAACCAATTTTTTTTTATTATATTATGATGTAATGAAGATCAAAATAATGAATTGTTGACTCTGTTAACTAAATTATTTTGTACTATACGCGTTATCGAACCCACGGCAGGTAACAGCCGCAACACCAGTAAGTAAATAAAAAACATCATTACCAAATTTTTACTTACTTGTAAAAAGGCACTAATGAAGTTAGCCAGACGCACAGCCATCTTGGCTTGGTTTTCGAACTGCTCTTCATGACCAAATGCAATATCTCCATTGAGAAATAAATCCGAGGGATTGTATCTGAAAAATAATAACAGGATCAAGGTTGTGTGGAACCAGGAGTTAATGGTGAATGAACTCAGACAAAATACTCGAACAAGGTTTAATTAATTACTTTAATTTGGGTTTTAACTACACGAGTTAAGTACAGCAAGCGGACGAAAAAGTCAAATTCTTCATAATGTATCGTTTTAGTAACAAGCGCAAGTTGATGTTATGTATTTCTAATATGAATTCTCAGAATACAGAACAAACCAGAATCCGCGTTCACTCTTAATTACATGTCGTCAAATGTGTCCAAAAACAATACGTCAATCCCCCCGCCAGCCGCACTTCCCACCCGCGTGGTGTTGCCGACAGTGGAACAATTCCCTTGGTTTGGGGTAATTTTACAACAGGAGGGTAAGATACGAGTAAACCCAACAAAATAGGTAAACTTACGATAAATGCAACAGACTAGTTGTTCACACATTTCATAGAGGTATCATAAAAGTTGACGATTTCTGGATTTGTTAATTTTAGTTACACCTACTATACATAACAAATAAAATAAGGCTTCAGTAAGTACTACAAAGGTTTTATTGCGTTCCCTTTTGCTGGTTTAGTTTTTTATATGTATTGTCTTTAGACTCGGAACTAAAGATTAGAAGTCTATTTACTTTACTTAGTTCCTGAGATTAGCGCATTCTAGCAAACAAACAAACAAACTCTTCAGCATTATAATTAGTATAGATATATCTTAGTAGGATATGCTGTTTTCAAACCACCTTTGTCATACATTTATCTCTTCAAAGTGAATTGAGCAAACTATGCTGTGGCTAGATGGTTTACAAAATTAATCTAACCGTGCCCTTTGTATGATTTGTATTTATTTTTTTTGTCAGGGAAACTAATATGTCATAGGCTCCATAATGGACAAAAATATAACCCACAACAAATAAATAAGTGGGTAAAATTTTCACCAAAAATGACAACACTCACAAAATGGCCGCATCATTTTCATAGAAATATAAATCGATAAAAAAAATTCAATAATTAATTAAATATAGTATTGCAGTCGATGCTTGCAGATGAAATGTAATCTTATCCACTTTTTTCGTAATTCCAGTCGCATTTTACTCGTAATGCAACACAAGACGGCAAAATGAAATTAAAATTGATACTCGTAAATACGTCACGACATGCCACGTGCCAAAATTGACTAATCGTAGAAATTTCATACTATTCTAGTTGAGAATGGTTTTAGTTGCTTCAGTTTGAAGCGCGATGACGCCTTCTGGTTTGTTCTGTATTCTGAGTATGAATTATGATTTATGATATAAGACTATGCTAGAATTAGATAAGGGTAGCGCGTCAAGCTCAATAATGTCGCGGCCATGGCTTGGGCAAGAGGAGGTAGTAGTATTTAGTCAGTGAGAGTATAACACTCTTATCTTCTCCACATAAACAAGAAGAAAAACTAAGGAGAAAAACAAACACTCGTCACTCCTCGCCGCACCCGGGGGCGGGAAAATCATATGATTACCTCCCCACAGAAAAAAAGATTACCCTAGAGTCAGTCAAAAGATACTAGATTTAATACAGAGACAGATAGCATTTGTTTTGCACTTACATCTGTAATTATGTAGGTAACACAAGAAATTAATAAGATCACATTTATGTAAACAAGCCCATATCATTGTAACTGTCAGTTCTTAATATGTCTTTGCTGCAAGTTGACGTCTTTTTAGTATCTCTCCTTACTCCTGAAACTTCAATATCCTCTTACTCCTGTGACGTCATCCGCGGTGAAATCATGTTTATTTAAAGTTTCGTATTCTCAAATGAGATGAGAGTGAAATCTACATTGGCGCCACCATGTGAATAACGAAGTGAAAGGAACTAAAACAAGTGAGTATTTTGACGTTTGTGTAAAGGCGAGATGAGAAGCGAAGTGGTGTGTGACTTTTAAGATGAGATTTACCATTTACAGAATAAGACTGGGCTGATTGCTTAACATAAGGTGGCGTACATCTTTGCTTACTATGGTATAAAATAAAACTCACTTGGAACAATTATTAGGCTGAACTCCTCTAATGAAGTTAAGCACTTCATAGACGTTGACTCGCTCGGTATGTAGCGCAGCTGGGCCGCTAGATGCGTTGACATACTCGTAGTGGCGGTCCATATACATGGCGCGGAGGAACGGATGAGCTCGTTCCCATTGTACTGGCAAACGTTGGACCCCTGTAAAAAACAATGAAAATTCAGTGTTATTTTTTTAATTAAGTAGCTGGCTAATGAAGAAATCTGTTTTTTAATAGTGGACGCTTTTTTGCATATTAATTTTCTTTCCTAATGCGCAGGCATTTGATCGCTATCACGACTGGTGGTAAGCGAAGATGTAGGTATTAATCTATTCACTCGGGCCTTAAAGACACCCCGGCAGAGAATTCCACTCATTAGCGCTTCTGATTTTGATTCATATGGAGTGGAAGAGAAACAATGGAGGAATATATAAGAAATTTTAGGTGTTAGTACACACTACAAAACTAAACTTGATATTGCCGCATAGTAAAAAAAATAGATTGTAAAGAGTTGGTATACTCACATCCAATCTTCTTGCAGTCAAAGTTATTATAGTATTGGTCAGACGTAGCTCTCTCAATGATTTCTCCGAGGTAAGGACGCCGTACGATACTTGGCAGCCGGTAGCCTGGGGCGCAGCGACACTGGTACCCACCACGACGGAAACCCCATCCATGTAGTGGTTCACACTGAAAACGGATATAAAATGTAAGCTATAAAGTGTGGGAGAGCCATGCTTTGGCACGAATGGGTCGGCTCGACCGGAGTGAAACCACGGCCTCACATAAAACCAGCGTGAAACAATCACAGCGTTGTGTTTTGCCGTGTGAGTGAGGCTATCCGAGGTCTTATCCTTCCCCCACCCAAACCTCTTCCCGATATTCTTATCTCCAAATGGTTGACACTTTTAAAACCTCTGGTCTAACGGATTTCCTCAAGCGACGCCGATTGTTTACCATAAGGTAATACGACTGCTTATTTGCTGCCCTTTGAAATAAAAAAAAACTTTTTGCAAGCAACAACTGTATCTAAAATCTAACAATGATTTATAGACAAATATTATCTATTGTGTCTCGGTTATATGTATAAAACCGTCGTGGTAGCCGAGAGGTTAAGGCACTCGCTTCTGATGCGTGAGGGTTCGAAACATGACAAGTGTCAATGTGAGTTTTTTCTATTTATAGGTACTTTCTATGATTATTTAGACACCACTGACGTACTGTGAAAAAAACATCATAAAGAAACCCGGACTTACAATTCGTTATAAGTTTTATATCGCCAGTCCGCCTTGAGCAATTGAGGTGCTTAATGTTCAAACCTTCTCCGTGTGAGAAAAGGCCTTTGCCGAGGCACGCACTTACAGGCTGATGGTGTGATGTATAAAGGCCTAAGTGCCGGTAATTGGTAGTGTGTAAGCGATTCGTCTAGTGTGTACTGTGTATGTCATTGTAAACTCGAATTACAAACAACGTCATGTTTATTAAACAGAAAAACGAGACTTAACTGACGAATATCGGAATAGGGTAGGAAGTAGGCAGACTCATGTCAATATATGACCCAGTTTTCTCTGGGGTCTATTAGTTAACCACCCACTTGTATTATGTAATAAATAGTGAGTTACCTTATTGTTATGTTTCGCATGTCTCAAATTTTTTTATACAAAGTCATTAATAAGTATTGGAGAGCCATACTTCGGCGCGAATGGGCTGGCTAGACAAACAAAATCTGCGTGAAGCAACATTTACGTTGTTTCGCCATATGAATTAGGTTACAATATCGCCAACGTATCTTGGCGAGTCTGAAGTTAGCCGATTAGCTGCGCAGTACACAATTATGTCCCTAAAAGATCCACTGCACAGACAAACGGCTAACTTCAGACTCGCCAAGATACGTCGGTCGTACTGAACCGGAGTCCAAATCCAATAATAACTCACAAGGGGCCGGCACTGGTAGTATCTCCGCTAGCGCTGATTGCTTACGACATTAAAAAAAAAACTTACCTCAGTAGTTTCTTTGCACCTTGCAGTTGACGCAAATCTATTCGGTCGATCATTACCTAAACTCGGTGGACACTGATTTATATCTATCCTGTCATAGTCTAACTCCATCACAACAGCTGCAGTGTACCTGGAAAAGCAAAATAATAAAACTTAAGATTTTTATATGTCTAAAGTATACTTTATCTTGGGAAACTTAAGAGCCATAATTACTTACAGGATACTCTATTGCCCATTTAATATGGGCTATAATAGTTTGTATTATATAATAAGTTGCCAGTTTTATTGAACTTTTTAATATATAAAATAAAACAAATACAGAATTGACTGCATTACATAAGGCACTTGCTAGTAAATCACTCTTGAATTTATTAGGTACAATGGTATTACTTACGTAGGATACTCGATATGCCTAAATTGTGTATGGCGAGGGTAGATGTCGGCTACGGGAGACACAGCTGCAACCAGCCATTTGTTCAGTCTACCGCAGTCAAAGTATGGGCGAGTCCAGTTTACTGGGCCAGGGTTCTGAAAAAGATCAATGATATATGTAGGCCTTCTTTTTTTCATACCTAATGTTTCAATATATTCCTAATTTTTTTATAATAATATTTTAAACATGTAATTATACTTAACATCATAATATGTATATCTCTATTAATTTAATGAGAAAAAAATTAAGAATATATTTTTTCTCATATAAATTATTGTTTATCAAACAAGGAGGTTCGTAACAATTCAAAACAAGTTGTTTTTAAGGAAATTCCTACTTTATAATCATCTCTGATAGATGTTTGTTATGAAAACATTAATTATTTTTATGATAACATGACCAAATAACTAGGTATTATCTGAATAGTTATTGAAACAAATACTTATAATAAGAATATGAAATTGCGCAATATTTAATCTATTTAAGTAGAGAATTATCATAACTGTTGGTGGGATAATATTTTAAAAATTACTTTCTTCAGATTTATTACAATTATTACTTATAAGAAAGACTATATCCAAGGTAAAATAAAATCCATTTGAAAACTAATGAGATTGAAATGGAATTAAATAAGAAACTGTATACAAACCTCATCATTGCCTGGTGGTCCGTGGAAAGTAAATGTCTCATTTGTATTGTTGGCATATCTGATCTCCACTTGGTATGTAGTCTTCGTGTCATGGCGCTTAGAAACTCTATCAGGTAGCCATTTCTTGTACCATTCATTGATTCTATAGAACTCTGAAGTATAATCCTTAGACAAACTCTCTGGGTCAAATGCACCAAGATCCTCAACATGGAATGTATTCATTGTAGATATCTTTTGCAAATGTACAGGGTCATTGAAATCATCAGCCCTAAATGCCCTAGGTGCAAATCTAGGCATAGTTTTATTGAAGAATCCTCTGTACGAAGATGTATAAGACATATTTGGTGAGAAATATATCGAACTGGCGTTAATGTACGGGTTCGCAGATACGTCGGCCACCGACGACAGGAAATAATACATCATTCCAGGGTCGTAAGTATCGTTGATAGCCGGCCTAATAAACCGAGACTGTAAAATATAACTCCAGAAAAACGCTCGGTTCATAGCCATGTTGTGTAAATGCAACATCGCTGTACGATTCGGAAACACTGGGTTTATGTTGATCTCTTTCACATCAGGATGATGGGAAACTGAATCTTCTGGCAAATACAAATCATCTAGGTGAGTGATAAAGCAATTATCAGCTGAGACCTTGTCAATTTTGCCTCTAATTTCGTCAAAAGCATCACGAATTTGCCATTCATACTGGCCGGCCACACCCCACAGCAAAACACAAAGTGATATCGCAAGTAAACTCCAGTTTACTTTCTCCATGATGAGTTTTTACACTTATTTTATAATTAAACTTACTTGTTTAATACATTTCGATTCAATATTATTTTATTAATAAAAACTTCAACCGCTATAAAACCGCGATAGATGTTGGTTGCGATTGTTGTTTTGAATTGAACATAGATTATACTGAATTAGTAGACAGTTTAGATAATTTGAAAGGGCGTTTTGAAAAATGTTGCCAGTTTTCAAAAACCATAATTTCAATTCTTTCGCCACATATTTTTTAAACGAATGAAGTCAGAAGTAAAAGAAAGCAGCTGTCAATTCTAAATGATTGCTGGTTAACCTCAAAATCGGACTGATCAAATGAAATATCAAAACAAAGTTTATTATTTCTAGTCAGCAAAAGATAAAACAACCAAGCTAATCATGGCTGGGACGATGTTCCGTAAGTTTATCATATATTGTTACTTATTGGGTTATGTTTACATTTATAAAAATAAATATCAGCCGTATTTATTTTCAGGTTCCTTGTTCACTAATTCTTTAACATTTTATAAAAGCAACACTTCGAATTTGGTGAGTATTATTCATTATTAATATCTCATATTTGGACTACATTAGTTCAATTTTATAAAATAATATAAAATATAAATTCAATAACCTCGACATTCTATTAAGAATCTATTTAAATTACTTTATATAATTTATTATTAACATTATTTATTATATAATTAACATAACAAAATTGTTGTTAAAATATAAATAAGTAAGTAGTCTAAGTACCTAATATAATATATTACTAATTGGTATATTATTATCAGAGGTTTCACATCCTTTTGTGCAATTGCCTTCCAGAGAAGCTTACACACTGCAACTGTGACCTATGCCGCTCGTAAGGGTACCAGGGCGAAGGCCCGTGCTAAGAAGGTTAAGGTTGAAGTCACGAAAGTTGGCTTCATACCACACAATCAGAGAGGAAAAGATAAGTAAGTTTAAAAAATATATATATTGCTCTTTTATAATCATACCAATGTTGTTTTGTGATTGTTAGTGGTCTTGTTTGCAAATGAATATATATATCACTACTACTACTATATATATCAAACTTGTTTCTTAGAAAGCATGATAAAGGTGTAAAATGCAGTCACTTTAAATAAGTGAGTTCTTGTGTTTGAGTGGGAAATATCATAAAATGGCTATGTAAGTGTGTCACAAGAGGGACAGGCTGCTAAAGCACCCTAAAGCATTTTATTCTAATAGAAAGTTTACGTGCTCCCTGTATCTAACAGACAGAAATTCAATTTATAAGTCAGTCTTAATAATGCTATGACCAATATTTCATTCCAGGAATGTTCAATCAAATGTCAGCAAGCATCTAGATGATACATTCAAGCCAATCCCAAAAGATAATGTCTACCCACTCAAGTACTACCGTTGGATAGTGTACACTGCTGAAGATGCTGTAAAGGCTCACCAACAAACACATCATCCCTCCATGTACAATGTTCCCAATGCATTGGTATCAGCACAGATTGAATTCAATATGGCTGCTGCAAAAAAGGTTTGTGATATGAGTATTGTTTACAGACAGAAAAGTTTTGTTTTCAAATACTTTGTTTCTAATATAGAAAAATGATATTTTCTGTTATATTTTACAACATAATAAGCAGTTAAAGATTTTTTTGGGCGGAGTTCAGTTCATCAAATGACTTCATGCACCATGGGTAAACTGTCTTAGCATCTCCTTATGCTAAGACTCTTACTTCTTAAAAACCCCAATACTTTTCCCTGCTCTGAACTGGAGGCTACCGCTCATAATCATGCTATTGCAATTGCAACCCCATCTGTACATCAGGCTATTAGGCCCCATCGATAGTGTGCTCAGCCCAAATGGGCTGAAGCATTGTAGTACATGGAGTGCAGTGCTCTGTATTTGGGCCAGTTTGTCATGGGTCAGCCAGACATGCATAGCAGGCAGGCATAGCAATTAAGTTTTATAATTTTATAATTGGATTCCAGTGAAAATAGGTTTTACTCCTATCAAAATGATAGTGCACAATGACAATAAAATCTTCTCAAAAAGGAAGACCAAAAGACTGGTGACTGCTCATAATTTTAAAGTCTAAAACAGATCTACTTGTTGTCTGCTTGCTTGCTTGCTACTGAAACTTTTTGAAAAGTTTCGTATTTTGAAACCTCATTAGTGCTACGGCGTCATAAACTGACACTAGTGAATACACCAAATTATTATTTTTTTGTTGCCAGAATCGTTTCATGGACAGTTTCACGCGTCTCTCACTGCTACCTAACCTGTTCCCGCGTGATGAAGAACGCACGATAATGGCATTCTGTAAAGGCTCGGAGCTTATCAAGGAGGCGACAGACGCAGGAGCTACTATTGCCGGTGGAACTGACCTTATTAAGAAAATTCAGGTATTCCACTTGTGAATTTTTCCACAAAATCAAGTTTTATGTTTTATGACCAATATGGAATGCACATATTATCATCAGAACATATTCATACACAAACAAACTCTATTCACAAAAAAAGTATATTGTTTTAGGAAGGTCAAATCAAGCTTAGTGATTACGACTATGTGCTGGCGCATCCGAATATCCTGACAGATTTGGTGCCAATCCGTGGTCTGATGAAGAGGCGATTCCCTAACCTGCGTGCTGGCACTTTAGACAATAAGCTTGGAGAATTGGTGAAGAAATTTTCTGGAGGCGTCCAGTACAGAGTGCTGAAGGATGAGCATCAAGAAAACTATGGATTTGTTGAAGTTCCTATTGGAAGGGTGGGTAGTTCAACATAACTTTGATTATTTTTCTAATATGGCAATATGGCATAATTTCAAATTACGTAAACGTATTTTTCGTATTTTTCCCTCTTACGTTTACGTTACGTTACGTTACGTTACGTTTTTGTTCCGTTAAAAATCTTCTGATAAATACTTTTGTTTTTCAGTTGAATATGGATCCTAAACTTGTAGCAGAAAACCTGGAAGCTCTGCTTAAAGATTTGCAGTCAGCACGACCGAAGCGTGATGGTCTTTTTATAACAAGGTATGCTCAAACATTGGACCAAACTAATTTAGAACATGATTTCTACTCAAAAAGTATGGCTTTGGATAGGTTGGCAAATGAGCAGTCATATTAACTGATTGTTAGCAATCGACGCCGTTACCAGATGATTTCGAAGTGCATTGCCGTCTATTTGGAGTTTAAGATATTGGGGAGGAAAGACTAGGTCTCCAGTAATGTGTCTAACGGAAATGATTCTTACTGAATTAATTAACTTAATTTTTTAAGGTGCTTGATTGTCAGCCCACCGTCCCCGGAGAAGCTCAAGATTGACCCATTTGTTTATGTAGACAAGACATTGACTAAAGAAGTGCAAGATGATAGCGACGATGAAGAAGCTGTCGCTGCCACCGCGTAATAGTGTAATAAGTGTTGTAGTATATTAGTTGTATAAATTCTTATAAAATAAATAAATATAAAAATATTGTTAAACTTTTACTTTATTATTATTTCTAAACGTATATTATCCTTGGAAAATCTTATCTGTGACACGCATTTCTGTATGTTGGCAGCTTGTCACGTAGCCCGTCAACATTTCTAAAGTGCGTTCTGAAACTAGTAAAAAGATTTAAAACAAATTTATATTTCAATTTTAACAAATATTTTAGTTCCATTACGTACATACGAATTTGATTTGTAGTAACATTATAAATTTGGATCTAGTTCAAAGTCATTACAGTATAAAATATTTCTTAAATAAGTTTAGTATCCAAATCTTATCTATAAATAATCTTGTTTATAAGTTTCGAACGCACCTAAGAGGGGCGTAATAAAACAATCCGCCATTTTGTCCCTATGACAATTTAGGATTTTAATAGTTTGGAACCTGTATAAATCTAATTAATCTTTACTCAAAAGTGATAATCCGGAAACTGTGCAGTGTTTATAAAAACTGTGATATTTGTGTCTCCAGTTATTTTTGTTTACGTTTCATCTTGACGTTTTATAGTTGACCGATTTTGACGTCGATTAGAAGAGAGCTCTAGATAAATCAAAATGGGCACAAGAGAGGACGAATACGATTATTTGTTTAAAGGTAACATTATTTCTATTCTAGACTCTGTATCTTAATGCTCCTGCAGTTATCTTGAGGGAGATATTTGATTTTGAAGTGAAACTTCAAAAACCATTGTTTCATCTCAGAATGACGTAGGAAAAAAGTGATTGATTTGATTTTCCTTTTGGTTTTGTATTATAATAGTCTTAGTTTTGTGTGTTAAAAGTCGGAACTGTGATTAACTGTTTGTTGTAACGTAATTTTGATTAGAAATAAGTAAGTTAGTAACTCATCAGCTGATTGAGTCACATCGATCGATTTCTCGTAAAATTTAGGTATTCGTGAGTCACCTTCCAGCTCACTTATGATCTAATCATTAACTGTTACGTTTCTAACAGAAATATGTGGATACGAACAGGTATTTCTTGTTAAAACAAGCATATGATGATGTTTGCTATTGTTCTTTGTTTCAGTTGTCCTAATAGGTGATTCTGGAGTCGGTAAAAGCAGTCTCCTATCACGTTTCACTAGAAATGAATTTAACTTAGAGTCTAAATCCACAATTGGTGTGGAATTTGCAACAAGAAGTATAGAGGTAAATATTTTTTAATGTTTATGTATCACAGCTTATGTTAATTGTTATGCTAATGTTCCTGTCTTACTAGAACTGTATTCCCTTTGTGTTTTTTTCTCATTCTCAGTATTTACAATTTGTTTTCCAAAGCATACTGTTGTATAGTGTGTTGGTTTATTAGCAGAAGTTTACCAAAAGAAGACAAAGAACTTTAATACATAACATATAATAATTTATTTAGGAAGGATCATTCAGTACTAAAGTAATTGTTTATTAAAAAAATCTATAATCAAATGATTCAAAAATAGTTCTGATAAAAATGTTTTTGGCAATCTCTGTGGCAAAGCAGTACAAAATATTATCTGGACTTTGACTATACATAGGTATAATGCCATAATATAACAATGGCACATTGATTTTCTAGTCTTTGTCACCCACTTGAACGAAATTATGAGTATCCTATTTATTCCAAGTTAAAAAGCAATAAAATCTAATGAAACTTCTTAAACATCTTAGTTAGTAACTGAAGGCATAAAAAAGAATATAAAATATTATTTTAGATAAATTAAAACAATATTGATATAATGTATCTTGTTAGCATACAAAGATTATAATGTTTGTTTTATAAATTTGTCATAATTGTCTAATTTACAAAATAAACAGCTAAATTCTACATTCACACAGTAAAAAATGGTAGCTATTGTTCATTACTTTACTTGAATTTAACAACAACAATGATAATATCTTTACTTTCTAACTTTGCTGAGTTTGTTTATGATGGGAGATATCTAAATAGAGAAGCATTCTGAATAAAAAACAAATGAAGTCTTAAACAGAACATTTTATAGGAACATAATTTGCTAAATAATTTTAATGTATAGTGTTACTCTTTGTGCCTGGTCAATCAAGCATTAATTACAAACTATGACAGTTTCATTAACTAAGCAATAGTTGAAAAATATGGCTAATGAAGCCTATTTTCGTGACTACACAGCAACTAGACAGCTTCTTTTGCAATAATAAAATGTTACTTAAAATATGTAAGTCAAGTAACTAAGGCATAAAACATAAATTAGTAAATAGTTACACAATCAAAAGTCAAATATGTTTATTCGTAGAAATATTCCCTTGTCAATTTATTTTTAAATTAATAAATAAAAAATGGTAGCTCTTCAGACAATTTAAATTATAATTTTTTAACTTATAAATGGTGATTGAATCACTTGTTAATTAATTGTAATCTCATGGCCCAATTATGTTCAATTGATTATATTAAAATTCAATTGTGTTTCATCAGATAAGAGAAACTATTGTACTGTAACTATGGGGGCAAGATTGCTTGATTTGATTTACGAATGTGGGAAAATATTCCCCTAATCTCCAAAAAGATTTATTTTTGATATTGATGTCATTAAGTACCCATATTTTTAGATTTGTTGGTTGTTTCCCTATTTCAAAATAAATGGAACATTGAATGTCTTTCCTGTTGTGGTAAAAAAAAACAGTCACTATTACTACTTAACATCAATTTTCAATAGTTAATTGGATAAAAGTTTAGGTGTGTTAAAGGTCCTTGCAATATTTTACATAAAATATGAAATCTTGAAATAAATTCTACCTTCCCAAAATAATTCTGTCTAATCAAAGAATACATAGTAGTTATCAAAAATTAACTAGGCATATCAGTATTACAGGTCATAATTAAATATTTTTTGGACATCAATAAACTGTTTATCTACCTATTTAAAATATTTGTAGATAATCATTTTCAGTGTTATCAGTAGATAGTGTTGGTTAGTGATCAATGCACATTGCCTTGACTTATCACACCTGTATGCATTAATTGGTGATAAGAAAATGCTATTAAATAATGCTTTATAATAAGAGAAGAGTAGGACATTTGTGTATGTCCTATTTTTCCTTTAGTTTGATAAATCAAATCTTAGTATCAACACCAGATACAATGAATTATTTTTTAATGAACATGTTTTGAATTTATTTCAATTTCATTAACAGTGGCTGCCAAATTCATATTTTTTAACCGACTTCCAAAAAGGAGGATGGTTCTCAATTTGACCATATATATGGTTTTTTTTTGTATCACAAGAATTGTGATAGTGAGTGTCCTAATAAGACTAATAGCTAAGACTGCTAAGACCTACAGCTTATATAATTTTCGGCTACTCCACATTCAAGCTGGACTTTATTTTCAATTAAACTTGTAGAAATCAATAAGGTAAAAAATACTTACTAGTCTTCAATATGTTATTGACATTATTGCAAAACAATGATTTGATTATCTTTACATATTAAAATCAAAGTCAAAATCATTTATTTCGATTAGACTCTTCAGGCACCCTTGGAACATCAAACAATGCTTAAAGATAAAAAGTGTCAGTATGTTTGTCAGTCCTCTTAGTGAAGCTATTTGCTTGTTCCAAAGTGTAGACTCCAATGGAGAAAAACGAGCAAGAATTAAAGTAGGTTCTCCTGCCCGCGTTTATAATCCTTGTCATCACAGATTTAAAACTAAATAGGCAAACAATTATAGGGTGGCACTTAGCTACTTTACTCGAACAATTTATATCAACATCACAGTGTTTATAAGCCTCCAAGTAGATTGACTGCAAGGGTATCCAGCAGGGGAAACGTTGTTGCTTCTAATTCTATAACAACTCCATTTTATTTTTAAAAGTTTATAACTGCGCTCTGTAGATGTGAAGTTCTTAAATCAATAACCTCCTTACGTATAATCGGCTTAACACACGTTGTTGCAAAGGTCAAGATTTACTCATATAACATGGAGCTGTCAAGTCTCCTTCGTAGTATCCTTAGTTCTTCACGATGTCTTTTCTTTTATAACCAGACTTTGTGGCGATTTATTCACTTCTTAACATTTTTTACGGCTGCAATGAATGCTACTGCCTGAACTGATATTGAAAAACGTTTATTAATACATTACCATAATTTCATGGTACCTATTAATACATAGATATGATATAATATACAAACTTTAGATTAATCAAGATTATACGGTGACGGCAAAAATTACTTGCAAGTGTCGAAATAATCTTTCCCTCTCACTAAGTTTATCTCTTTTTCGAAAACTATTTCTAACCAGATATCATAAAAATAGCCAGTCTGCTTTACATATTATTTCGTACATATCGATTTCTATTTTTATCTCAGTCGAAAGTAAAATGCGCAGATAGCTACATAGATACCTAGTCTGTTATTTGAAAATTGCCTTCGTGCAAGACTAATGTTGGTCGTTCATAACTTATTCATAAAATTGTTCGCAATCACGGCTGTTATACTGCGCTCAATAAAACGTAATAAAGTAATAATCCAAAAATCTGCTTTTTTACTTTCGTATAATGTACTGTAGGTAGATTTTCAACTTAATTACAAAACAATAATGTTTAAATTCGATTAAAAACTAATCTACGTACATACATATTTACGTAGTTAGTGAAAAATTAAAAACAATATCTGTAATATGAACGAGTGTTTGCTTTGACTCATATTTGATTAAACCTTCGTATTTGCACAGCAACTCAGTGAATCAGCACACACATTATAGAAAGAATTAATCTACAACGCCACTGTTAGCGTCACAATGAAATTTTATTGTAATCTACTGTAATTAAATGTTGTAAACTTTTAATAATTAAATAAGTTTAAAGATAGCTCGACAATTTAGTTCATTTCAGATCAAAGAAGAATAATTTCGTGTTCTGACAATTATGCTCTTCTCTTTGCCATAATAGAAATTACTATAGACACAATTCAAGTTAATATTATTTATATGAACTAAAAAACATCCGCCCACTTTAGTCAAGAATATTGCCTATTAGCCCAATTTAATTATGAGCGAATTGGGTGAGTCTTGTTTTTTAAACGAAATTTAATTAATTTTGTTTCACAAAATGATAAATGACAGCTGTTACCTAGTTTTTAAAATGTACCAAGAAGTCTTTGAAATTTAGTCTTTCATAAAGTACATGATTATTTTGGGTAGGTTTGCTTATTGTCACATAAACTTAAGAATCTCGATTCTCCAAATTCTACTTCCTCCATAAGAATCTGTTAAGCATTTCGTTTGCACAGCTTCCGTATAACGGTGCACTACTCAGAATGGTTTGTTGTTCCTGCAGCAGGACAGGCGTAGTCATAGAGGCGTGACGTCACACGCCAACACATGTACCATTGTACATACATCGCTAAACCAGTGACCCCATACGATGAACCGTTAGGCAGACTGCGCTATTGATTGTATTTAACCAATGTGATTTATTATTGAGAATTACAAAAAGAACCCGCAGATTTCATAGCTACAATATAATAGGCTTTTTTGGTATAATAAGCTAGGCATTGAATTTAGAAATTATTAAGCAACGGCTTGTTAGAAACTCGCTTTTTTGGTAGTTACTTAAAATAAGCGAGAAACTGTTCCGAATATCAACCTTTGTTTTTATATTCCTCAATTTGATCTACATTAAGCGTCTACAGAATGTCATCTAATCTACTGATTAAATCTAATCTAACTAATGATTAAGTATCTACAGCCATAGGTTCCCGTAATCAAAGCTTGGATATTAACAGCGATCATTACAAATAAGCGTAGGTCTACTTATAAAAATACGTAGACGAACTTGTTGAACTATCCTGAAGAATTTCAGGGGTGAAAGTACTCCAAGATCGGTGACCTATCAGATGTTTCATTATATTGAACGTATTGTCAATTCACATCCCAGCCTAGAACAGTAATTAAGTTCAACAGTAAAAATTAAAGACGTATATATATAATCGTGAGTGCCTTCACCTCCTAAGATAAGAGGTTATTAATGTTTCAAAAATATCTCTAAAGAAAAGTAAAATACATAGTTCGTAGTATGAAGGGTCGGCGGCCACGTCGCGAGGGGTAACGACCTCCCCTAACGATTCTTTTGTTACAAATAAACACATGAACGTTTATGTATTAGGGAAATAGTTCTAAAGAAAACGTTAACAAGAAATCGTACCACTACACTATGTTAATGGCGCCTTTGTTATAGTTTAATTGGTTCTACTAATTAGAACCTTTAGCCCACAGCTAAAGGTTTCAATTAACTTAGTTACTTCGGCAACTACAGGGTTGTTTATGAAAGTGTGATGCAACGTCGTTAATGTTCGTATCTTAGAATATCCACTTTAGGGAAATAGTACTAACTGGTATAAATATAAGTCTGTTTTATCGAGAATTTTTATTGCAATTGATTTATTTTGCTTCTAATGTAAGTGTCGTTTTTATTCTAAGAGCAGTAATAACAGTATTTTTATATTGTTCCCAGGTGGACGGTAAAACCATAAAAGCCCAGATATGGGATACGGCCGGACAAGAGCGGTACCGTGCGATCACGTCGGCGTATTACCGCGGTGCGGTAGGCGCGCTGCTGGTCTACGACATAGCCAAGCATCTGTCCTATGAGAACGTCGAGCGATGGTTGCGTGAACTCCGCGATCACGCTGATCAAAATATATTGATCATGCTTGTCGGTAACAAGAGCGATCTTAGGCACCTCAGGTAAATGATTCTTTCAATACCATTATTTATGTAAGGATATTTAAGTATTATTGACCTTTTTTAGTACAAAATAGGCTTTGTTTATTTATTTATTGGCATTTCAAGTCTATCTTTTCACAGAGTAGCTCTATATTGCGTACTTTACCATCCAGTATGAATAAGACAATGTACAATTTATAGTTTCATACATTTACTTAAAACTTGTGCTGTTTTGATTGCTTGTTATAATGATCACAGATTTACTCTTTAGGCCGAAATGCTTTATATTGATGCTCTCATATGCATTGAAAGTTAACTAAGAAAACAGTAATGAAGATATCTATTTTTCTCTCCATCTTTTTCAATTTTATCATTTGTATTTTAATATGAACTTGTTCATATTTCCAGATCCATCCCAACAGAAGAAGCGAAGGCATTTGCAGAAAGGAACGGACTTAGTTTTATTGAAACATCCGCTCTCGACTCAACTAACGTCGAGCCTGCATTCCAGAACATTCTAACTGGTAATTATGCTTCGTTAACTCATATTTCTCTCTTAATTAAACATGGTTATGTTTAAATGTAAGGGAATCGTGAAATTGGTTTGACATTGCATTTTTTAGGGACTGCACAGTTGACAGGATAGATTGGGGGTTGATTTTAAAGCAAAATTGTTATATAATTAGATATACATTTTCGTTTGTTTACTATAGGTAGGTGCATAGCAGCGACAATAACATTTGTATTAGTTGTATAAGTTTTTAAAATCTATACATATAAAACAAATCTCAATCTCGAAATTCTCTTGGTCATGGCTATGGCTAGACCGATTCCAATAATTCTTCTTATAATGTGTTCGCTAAGATCAGAAAAATATATTTCTTATAGAGAAAACTTTAGAAAAGTAGAGGGAATTCGGTAAATAGCAAACATCTAGGTGACGTACCGGTTTCCCAAAAAAAAAAAAAAAAAACAAATGACTGCCTCGGACGTAGCTGAACATCTGTGCAGCAGGGGCGGCGCTAGTATATCACATTTTTTATCTAAAACCCGGTCTGCCCATATATGGAAACTGTCAATATAACATCATACACAGTTAGATTGTAGATGAAATCGATATAAGTCAACGTCCGTCAGTTTGGGGCGTCGTAACACCGTCAGTCCGTCACCTTCTATATTTAGACCTCTCTGGCACGCAATTACAATGTCAACTATTTTGGGGTCATTTCACTCGATGCGGTAGTCGGTGGTAAGGTCAAATGATAAATGATATGTCAGCTCTGTTATATGCTGATACGGACAAAGGAAATATGTCCCATATAGTTTATAGTATATTTGTTTTTGATGTGATTGTTTTTTATGCTTATAAAAGGGTTCATCGGCTTTATATTATGATAAGCCGTTTATTTGAATGTGTATGAGGATAAAATTTCAAATGCATAAGATAACACCAAAACAATGGGATCAGCATCAATTGTATTTTGAAATTTATAAAAACACAAGGGAAATAAATCACATAAATCAAGGTATAGCTGTAGTGCTGCCTCGTAGTCGCAATACGCGATATAACCTGACCTGTCATTCAAAATCCATTCTCTTTTGTAACATATTTTTATAAAAAAATATCCTGTATATTTAAATTAGGAATGTATCTATACTATTAATTGTATAAAGAGGTCATATTTGTAAGTTTGTATGTAGGGGGTAATCTTTGGAACCGCTGGTCGGATTGTCAAAATTCTTTCACTGATAGATATCTATAATGTTCCTGAGCGCTATAAGCTATAAAACATCACGCTACGATCAAATGGAGCTAAGCAGCGGGTGAAACCGCGCGAGAGCAGCTAGTTTGTTTATAACACATCAAAATATACACAACAAGTCAAAATAACATAACAGAACACTACCTTGTTCATCCCCGATAAAAGAAATCTAAGCATGTATGTACAGGGTGCCCCTATTTCCATTATACAGGGCACAATTAAAGGCAAATGACATATTTTTAAAATTATATCCGCAATAACGTAACCCGACCTCTTGTTCGACAGTCATTAGAATTTATGACCACGGCTCTCAAGTATGGCCAACGAAACAGCATTATTTAAATATATCTACTCTCAATTTTGGGCCATACATCGAAGCAAAAGCTCAACTGGCTGCAAAAAAGTTGGGAATCCTCGCAAGGGTTAGACAATACTTTACGCCGGAACAGCTGCTTAAACTTTATCAGGCGCAAGTTCGATCGGTTATGGAGTACTGCTCTCATCTTTGGGACGGATCTGCCCGATACCAACTTGATGCGCTTGAGTCTATTGAGAGGCGAGCCAAGAGGATCATTGGCGATGATGCACTTGTCGAGTCGAGACTTCAAAGTCTTGAGCATCGACGCCGAGTTGCTAGCCTGTCGGTTTTCTACCGGTTGCATTTCGGGGAATGTGCGTTGGAATTACATAATTTAATTCCGCCTAGCCCGTTCCATCATCGGACCACCAGACGTACGGCATTGCGCCACCGGTACATGGTGGATGTCCCACATATACGTACAAAACGTTTTGGGAGCACATTCATCATGCGTACAGCCAAGGAGTGGAATTCCTTGCCGGAGTCGGTGTTTCCTGATAGTTACAATCTGGGTATCTTTAAGTCAAGAGTGAATAGGTTACTTCTAGGTAAGCGCGCTCCATCGTCGACCGCATCGTCGCTTTCCATCAGGTGAGATAGCGGTCAAGCGCGAACCTATAATCAATAAAAAAAAAAAAAAAATCTTTACAAAAATTGTAACTGCACAATTGGCTTTGGCTAGGCAGTTCACTAGTTGTTGTTCTGAGTCTGCGATGTGTATGTATGTAAATGCGACCACATAAGAATAAATCCTAGTGTTTTTCACTAGCCTATAATGTCCCACTGCTGGGGAAAGGACCGTGTCCACTAGTCTCGACAAAAGGCGTCCAGTCTAGATCGTCGCGCCATCTTTTCCAGGGCCTACCCCGCCTGTGGCATCCATCCTGAGGTGTCCCCTGGGTGACAATAGTGGCCCCTCTCCTAGTTAAAAAAGTTAATAAATAAACAAACGTTTGTTACATTGCAGAAATCTACAGGATCGTATCTCAGAAGCAGATGCGTGACCCGCCGGAGGGCGACGTGATCCGGCCGGACGCGGAGCCCACGGACGTGCGGCCCTCGCACACCGACAACGTGCGCAAGCAGTGCTGCCAGTAGTCGCCTCAACTCTGTTGTTTGTACCGACCTCTATTACTTACTATTTTATATCACTAAACTAGCTTTTGCCCTCGACTTTGTTCGCGTGGTATAGTGACTTCCTGCAGATTATGTTTAAAAGCTATCCTACGTCCTTTCTCGATTTCTAGTCGAGTAGTTTAGGCGTGAAGAAAAGACTGACAGAGTTACTTTCGCATTTATAATATTAGTTTGGATTAGTTTCTGAAAGTATTTCTCGAGGAACCTGTTTATGATGGCTTTGGCAAAAACTTCATACTCACGGTTTAGCCAAATACTTTCTACACAAACACCAGTTGAGACCCCATTGAGGAAAGCAAAAAGGACCATTTTGATCAAATAATTTATCTCGTCCAGGGTAACGAGAGAGTAAGTGTCAGACTCTTATTGACTAAAAATGGAGCTATACACGTAAAAATTTCAAAATAGATTATGTGGTCAATAGTTACATTCCTCTAGTGAATGCAATGCAATAGGATGGGAATGGGAGGGAACTTGGTGGTATTTATTAGTGTCTGTAGAGAGACAACAAAGTCTCTTTTTATTTAAATGTTTTAAAAGAGACCACCTGTTTTTTGCTTTAAGTAATCCTGCATCTTCTTGACCGTAAACATGATACCGAATAACACCGATTTTCCCAAATGAATTGGACTGTGATCAATTCGGGTAATCGAAACATATGAAAAAACTTATATTATGAATATGAAAATCAGAAAAATATCTAGGGAAATATTAATAAAAAAACAGCGACGACTTAGAGGTAATTCAGGGGGATGCTAAGGCTGGAGTTGGTGTGTCCTACCTCCCCTGGTGCAAACGATAACGAGAAACCTTATTGACTTCAAGCTGATCATTATTTGTCTAGACATGTTCAAGTACTAGTATACCTTCAATATAAACTTTTTTTTTTTCAGAATGTCCAGTTTACGTCGTCGGAGCCGGAAAGTGAGACGCGGCTGAAGATATAAATGCAATCATTACGAATCATTCCCAGACAATGGTGTTTACCAACATAATAACTAGGTTGCCGGTGCAGAAGTATACTGCCTCTCACTGAAGATGAAATCTTTTATCCATGAAATACGCCATACATTGTCTATGGCCTGACCTATATTTCAACCTGGCAACACTAACACAAAACGGTTAAGAGTGGCTCATGTAGATAGCTTTGTGTAATTATTGATATTTAGTGTCTGAACGAATAAAGTTAAAAAATATATAATAATTATTGTAACGTGAAGAGACGATTCAATATAACACAATTTAGTAAAGGAACCATGCTTCTATATAGAAAGCACCCGAGTTTATTAATTTTGGCGCTAGACACACTATACCTGTGTAATTTATACCTGAATTTATCTTTTTTATTTAGGGGTAAACCATATTTTTCGTTAGTAGGTAATTCAATGCTATTTATTTAGTAAAATAAATAAAATGATGAAAGTTACTAAAACCGTTATAATTTTATATTTTTTCCATAGTATTAGGCAAATTTCCTATAAAAATGAGCAATAATTGGGCTGGTAAACTGAATTTTGCGTAAAGTTCACTGTTTAATAGCACACAAATGATAGCTTCATAATTAAAGTACGTCTAATTGTTTTGTAATACACTAGCTGGTAGTTTTTACTAAGTAACAAGATAGCTTTTTTAAAAAGGGGATCCTTTTTTCTTTTACGAATACGTGCCTTCTATGGAAACGGCGTGACATGTACATTTTATTGAAGCTTTTATTGTTTATTTTTGCGTCATGTTGAAGTTATTGTTTCGGGCTGGTCGCGGGCCGCGGCCTACCAGTGTTCACTGTTCCGGGGATGGGTGCTCGCACTGCCCGCCACTAGTCTGTAAGCACGCTTGATGTTCGCTATCTCATTGGGATATATTATTGTTAACTAACTGCCCTCGATTCGCTCTAGGAACACGATACTCAGTCAATGTGTTCCCGGCCCCGTGCCATTACTAGTTGTGGTCAGCGAATGTCAAAACATCGGCACTAAAGCCTCCGGCTGTTTATTTCTCAAGAGAGGATGCGGTGTTTGTTGTATCTAAGAAATATGTTATTGTATTATGGTCTTCAATATGCATGATTATTTTTTTAGTGCCTACCTGTAATTACTTTATTAAAGACAAAGATAATAAAATATAATGTAAATTTCTTGGCGTTTTCTTAGTCTCATCGTATTTCCTAAATAATTGAACCGATGTAAGGTGTTTTAGAGGGGGAAAATACCAAACGTATCCCGCAGTCGCTAGTCGTAAGCTTCAAGCGATCATTGTCTACACAAAATGACAATGAAATTTAAACTAAATGTACTGGATAACATTATTACCTACCTATGTCAAAATATATTCATTTTAACAGACCTTTCTATCTAAATTCGATTACTCACTACTACGGTTTTTGTACTTTTTTTCCATTAGCTAGTGTGATTCCTGAAAAGGTTTTCAGGAATCTCACCAAGTCAAAAGTATGCACCCGTGCGGTCAATGGCCGCAACACTAGTAGAAATTGTGGCTTCAACTTTTACAAAGTTGCTTTAGTTTCTAGAAAGGTAATGCAGCTACAAGAAAATGCAAGAATATGAATGGATAATATAATCTTTTATTATCATATTGTGACAGAAAACTCTTTGACATCATGACGTCAATGGATGGTTGTCAAACGTTGCCTAGAGATTGTAAATTTCGTCGTGAATTGTCAACACGAGTTGGTGTAATCGGTAAGGCGTGTGGATTACACCACAGAGACCCCGAGTTCGAGTCCCGCCGTAAACATGAAGTTTTTTAGTTGATGGAAGTTTTGTCGAACTTTCTGGAATATTTGAGTGAAAGTAATGAAAAATTAAGGAGCGAGAAGGAGAATAAATAAAAATGAATAACGAAATTATTGGAAGGTTCTGGAGGCATGACGATCAAAAAGAATAACGAAATTGAATGTTCTAGAACCTGACCGGGGGTATATAAGCGGAACTGCGGCTCACCGCTGGCAGTTGAGTTCTAAGTCCAAAGCGATTCGGAAGAAAAGGAAGAAGTGAAAAGAAGAAAAGTGAGTGAAATAGTGAAGTACAGTGAAATAGTGAAGTGCAGTCAGTTAAGTGAGTTAAGTCAGCGTGAACAGTGAACGGCAAAGTTGTGTCAGTCGGCCGGACTCTGCTGGAGAGGAACGCCGATAACTTATCCGTATCCGTGGACGCTGTCACTTAAGTGCAATAGAAAGTCTGAAAACCGGTATTAGTGTTTAATTTCATCCAATCCCGTAACCCAAGCCCGCATAGTTAGGAACGTGACGTCAGGCACGTAACATTTGGTGTCAGAAGTGGGATTGGAGAAAAATGCCGCTAGTGCCGCAGGACGTAAGAGGAGTGAGTACCCGTGCTATGTCAGAAGCGCAGCGTGTGAGAGAAGAGGGTGCTGCAGCTCAAACCAGCGATGCAGAAGCCAAGCCTGTGCAGGTGGATCTTCTGCTACAGCTGCAGCAAATGATGGCAGAACAGCTGCGGGAGCTGAAAGAAGATCAAGCGCGCCGCCAAGAAGAGCAAGCACGCTGTCAGGCAGAACAGCTGCGGGAGCTGAAAGAAGATCAAGCGCGCCGCCAAGAAGAGCAAGCGCGCCGCCAAGAAGAGCAAGCGCGCCGCCAAGAAGAGCAAGCACGCTGTCAGTCAGGACAGCTGCGGGAGCTGAAAGAAGATCAAGCTCGTCGCCAAGAGGAGCAAGTGCGTCGCTTGGAAGACATGCATAAAGATTTCACGAAGGGACTGCAAAAGGCTGTCAAACGGGTACAAGAAGTGGAGGAAGGTTTAGGCAAGTTGGAACATCGCGTCATGGCGATAGAGGAGAGATTGGAAGAAGAGATCTCCAAAATCAAGCAGGAAGTGACAAACCCAAGCCCTTTAAAGAGCCGAAGCCGTCTTGCAGCCGTTTTTGACGCCCCAAATGCGGCCTTAAGCGCAACGAAAGGGCTCAAGATTCCCCATTATGACGGAACAACATCCTGGACCGCGTTCAAGCTACAGTTTGAGACACTTATGGAGGCTTATGGTTGGACTCAGAAGGAAGCACAGTCAGCCCTCACCCTGGCCCTCCGTGATCAAGCGCTCTCAGTGCTGGAAGCTATCGGCGCAAGTGGAGATCTCAGCTTTAGTGCCCTCCTCGACGCACTTGAGGCACGTTTTGGAGACAGCCACCTCGAGCACGTGTACAGAGCGCAATTAAAAGAGCGTACTCAGCGTGATAATGAGAGTCTACAGCAATGGTCCGTGGAAATCGAGAAACTTGTGCGTCGAGCTTTCCGGTCGACTCCGTCAATGATTGAAGGCACGCTTCTCCAAGCGTTCATTGACGGTATTCGGGACCCCGAAGTACGAGCTGCTGTTCATCTGGGCCATAACAAGAACATGAAAGAAGCTCTGGCCCATGCATTGGAAGTGGAAGCCGTGCGTGGCAACTCCCGTACCTTACGTCTGCGGGAAATGACGACAACGGAGCAGGTACCTCCACGCCGTCGGAACTTCATGTGCTATGGATGTGGAGAGCGTGGGCACATACGGAGCGACTGCCCGAAGAAGATGAACCGCAAGGACGCGGCGGTCTCAACTTCTGACCAGCAGGGAAACTTAAATCCAGCCAAGGCTGCGGGGTGGGCGCTGGCTGGTAGTGGAATAACCCCAACAATCTACATCAAGCAAACTAACGATGGAAATACCCTGGTGATAGACGGTCAAGTAAATGGGAAAAACAGTCAGCTAACATTAGATACTGGAGCTTCAAGGACGGTGATAAATGTTCGGCTGCTCGAGCAAAACATCAGGAAACACCTTAAACCAATTGTTGGCCTACAAATGAAATCAGCTACCGGCCAGTGCATACCGATAAGTGGAAAACTGCATGTAACAATCAAAATTGGGGAACGTGTTTATCGACATGAGGTTATTGTGGCCAGAATTCTGGATGACTGCATCCTGGGACTTGACTTCCTGCAAGGGCACCAGTGTAACATCGACTTAAAATCTGGAGTATTACTATGTGGAACTGAGGAAATTCCGATGAAGGGTGGAACCCTGGGAAAAGTTTGCTGTTTAAGAAGAACTGTTCTTGCACCAAAATCACAGACTCTCGTACCAATCGCATTACCTAGGAGGAGGGAAGGAAGTTTACCTCGAAGGTGCGCTGTGATTGATAAATCGGAACACGTGAATTCATGGCTACCGGCAAGAACTGTCGTGGGGTCATCTGATGTTAACCGCATTCCGGTATTCAACTTCAGTGATTCAGAAATTACGATTGAAGAAGGAGAGCCTGTGGGCGTATTGGAAGAAGTGGCCTGGATAAGAAAATGCTCGGAAAATCTTGTGAAGAAGGACAGTACGGGACTAGACTTTGTAACGAAAATCTTAGACGAAAACAAAAGTCTGACAAAAGTGGAGACTATGAAAGCTAGAAATTTACTTCTTCGATTCTCTGATGTGTTTTCAAGAAGCGATGGTGATATTGGCCGAACTGGTTTGGTGAAGCATAAAATAAACACAGGTGATACAATGCCAATTCGTCAAAGGCCCAGACGTATACCATTCGCTCGTGAGAAAGAAGTTGAAGAAATGATTGACGATATGAGGAAAAATGACGTGATAGAGCCCTCTTCTAGCCCTTGGTGTTCACCTGTCGTGCTTGTCAAGAAGAAAGATGGTTCAACGAGGTTTTGCGTAGACTATCGACGATTGAATGATGTAACCAAGAAGGATAGCTACCCGTTACCAAGAATCGATGACACACTTGACACACTGAGTGGCATGAAATGGTTTTCAACGCTCGATCTGAAAAGCGGCTATTGGCAGGTGGATTTGGATCCCAAGGACAAGGAAAAGACCGCATTCTCAACTGGGAAGGGACTCTGGCAATTTAAGGTGATGCCATTTGGATTATGCAATGCACCGGCAACCTTTGAGCGTTTGATGGAACAGGTGCTGGCGGGACTGCTGGGCGAAACTTGCCTAGTTTACCTCGATGACATCATCATTGTTGGACGGGATTTTGACGATCATCTAAGGAAATTGGAAAAGGTACTCGATAAGCTGCGTGGAGCAAATTTAAAGTTGAGTCCAAAGAAATGCTCTTTCTTCAAGCGCGAAGTGAATTATCTAGGACATGTTATTTCTGAGAGAGGAATTGAGACTGATCCAGCCAAGACTGCCGCTGTTAAGGAATGGCCGACACCTAAAGACAAAACG